ATTCGTTTTCAACTATCAGAAACACAAATATTTAAACTTTAAAAAAAAGCTCTTCAAAACTTTATATCAGTGTTTTTGAAAATTTAAGTCAATTTAATTTGAATCTTATATCACTTTTGCAAAACATTCAAGGTCGTATGCACAGTAATTTTTAATAAACACCCGTTACGTATTTACTTAACATTTCAGTGTAAGGCAAAGATATACGTCACCATTATAAATATGCACATTATTGATATTATACATGTACTTAAGTTATCCCAAGTTGTCTATAAGAATAGAGTTGTCTATAAGAATAGACTATTTTGAAATAGACATGGTATGTATATGAAAATCAACAGTTTGGAATGTCTTTTTGAAAATGTCTATCGTTTATGATAGAATAAAAATAAACTTTTACAGTTTGAAATATATATTTGCCAAATTCAAATACACTTGAAATATTTTGAAATGATGAGCTAAAAACAAAAGTAAAATGTGTTTAACAACTACATGTAATCAAGTGATAAGAATTGGCAAATAATTATAAACATATGCACTAGATTTTAGGTTGTTGGTATAGATTGATTTCTTTAATAGCCCTTCATGGGAATAGTAAGGTTTTGTCAGGGAATTTCCCTTGGAACAAAGGTTACATGTCATTCATTAAAAAGTGAACTTAGTTATCAGGTCATTCATTAAAAATTCATAGGACTTACATACATGTACGTTTGATCCGATTTATCTAAACATGAAATTATTGATTCCAATTACAGTAACGCAGCACGGGGATTTCCAAAGTCGGGATTCTTTCAATTTTCATAATCCATAATTTAAAAGAATTCACTATTCAATTATTCACTTTTGGAATTTTCTTTAGAACAAAAAATTGATATAATGCCTTTCCTGATAAACTTCCTCTAAAATGAAAAATGATAAAACAATATAATTATTGAAAATAAGGCCACATAAAAAATGCTACATATTGGTATCAAAAGTGGATATTATAGCTGTAACCTCACTACATAACGCACTTGTGTATTCTTAATCATATTCAATGATTTTAAAATCATTATTAATATGTATGTAAACTATGCAATGCAGTAAATCTTGGATCTCAGAAAGTGCAAATCAGTTTAATCATATTGTGCATATATGGACAACCAACAAAACTTTAACATTTTTTTGTCTGAAATAAACATCATGTAACATAGACCATATTAAAGCTTTAATTCTTTAACTATCTTTAAATCACAGGACATGTGTTCTTCATGTGTCCTACATTGAATTCATACACCCGAGTCGTTGAGGCCTTTTTATTACAAGCGATATAACTCTGTAAACAATCAAAACCGTGACATTAAATTTATTCCCATTAAAGTGTTAATCGTTCTCTCGTGTATAGTTATCATTTGATCACCTCCCAGAATATAGCAGGTGGTAAAGAGTGGCATGTATTACAAGCGTGAAACTTCACAGTACGTGTGCACTTTAAAATAGAATAAATAGTAGAACATGTATTTGGTGAGAATTTTTTGCAGGGTTTGACTGCACAATATGCTGGATCTAATTAGAATTAAACTTGTAAATACAAATCTAATTTTAATTAGATTGACAATGTTCTTATAAAATGACACCTGATTACAGAGTTTAACAGAATATATCATATAACACAGCATACAGGGCTCACAGTGGATGAAAGCGGTCCACAGGGATGCTTACCCCTCCTTTGCATCTGATCCAATCTTTGGAATTTTCGGGATCAATATTTTATACCCTGTTCACAGACATGAATGGTTTGAAGTTTGTTTTTTTAAATAACAATAATTTCTCTTTACCTCCGTTGTTCTTTTCCTATCTGATTATGTTTGAGATTAGGCTAAAGGCTTACTAGTATTTTCAAAACCCTAGTTTCTGATAGTTTAGCTTAATCTTATCTGTTAGTGAGAAAGTAAGCTTTCTCACTTAAAATTACACGAATGATGAATGTATGATTTATATATAATTAATCAGTCAATTATCACAATCATTTTCAAATGAAAGAAAGACAAAATATTTAGTTTTTCAAAAACCTTTCTAGGTATGAACTGCCATATCTGAGTTTGTCATTGTGTTTGGAATAAAATTGAAAGCATTGCTAAGGTTGCAATTTGAGTCAACATAATGCAATGTGTTGGTAAGTGCATAAGGTAATTCAAATTATTCTGAAATAATAAAAAAAAAAAAACTATAAGAACTATAAACCATACAAATACTAAAAAAGGAATAAACATGGACACCTGAATATTCCAGAGTGGCTTCAGGTGCCTAGAAAGAGCAATCATCCCCTGTTGAAGCGTCACACCCGCTGTGAGCCCAATGTATTGGTCTAGTAGACGGAACAAAGCCTTTAGTAAAGTTTAGCAATTGGGATGAAGCAAGTTTACAAGCCAAATTGAGCCATTTGTACGTCATATTACTTACATATGCTAAGAAAGTTATTTTACGACCATAGAATTTACGAAATGCTGACTTTAAACGAGAATATGTAGCCTTTAACATCAACTTATGTGTGAGTAGCCTGCCTCGCTTAAAAATGATCATACTTAGAGCATGTTTTTGAGGAGGGAATAAAGTTGGTAGATATAAACTCAATATATACATGTACAAGTGATAGTGGAATATGACCACATAAATAGGAAAGTTGACAAGGTTTCATGGTTCTTTGAATTTGTATCCAATACAATATCACCTTGATAAAATATATATGCATGCTATGTAACTTTCCCACAAAATTACAAATAGGTTTTCTGTGAAGATCATTGCATGGTTATTTTTAGCAGCATTTTAAATACCAAATTAATGATCTAATACAAATACAATTAAGTAGTAACATCTGGGAATATTAGTCGGGTTATCTGGTTTAAAAGGAAATTCTTGTATAATTTAATATCTAAGGTTTCGATCCTTACAAATAAGTTGTTTTTCTATATTTAGTTGCTATTGAACTTCATCAAGATGAGATTTTACTGATAGTATTTTGACATGTGACAAATTTCAATTCAAATATTAAGTTATTTTTAGTGTACCCTTATCCTATATATACTAACATTACACGGCAACCGTGCTAGCAACACATTTGTTGAAGTTTAATTTTGTCAATGGTGGTAGCTTTTTTGCTTGTCATTATATTTGAAAAAAAAATGGCCATTAAACAGAGAAATTTTATTTTTAGCGCCTTTAATGAATTATGTTAAATATTTACTTTTGAATAATATATATCATTTATGCATATTGAATTCCTAATAAATAGGAATGCTACAGACTTTTAATGCTTGTGATAAATGTTAACATTTTTCATTCTTATTTCCAATGGCCACAATTAAACTAATCACCCAACGAATAGAGAAACCAAGCTAGTATAAACACTTCTTTGAAATAAAAACATCTACGATTAATTTTCTACTATCCCTATATTTATGTTACCATGCTTAATGATAATAATATAGATAGAAGAATATTCATATATTTGCATATTAAACTTTTGAAACTTACACATATATTTTGGTGGTATTGAAACATGTTTGAAATAAAGTAGTTGCTAAAATCTATTTTCAACCCCAAAATAAAATTGTATGCGAACACTGGGCGTATATGTACATTTAAACAAAACGTGACCAGTATTCGTAAAATATTTCCAAAGAAAAGGACAATTATCGCGTGTCATATGATTGAACAATTTTCAACAAAAGCAACTATCCTTGGGAATATATGCAACATAACAAAAAGGTACTAGGAACCCATAGACACTTATCTATTTCATTGGATAATGCTGGAACAAGGAAGGGAATGGAAGATATAAAATAAGAGCACTAAAGTGTAACCATTTTATTTAAAGCCGCTTAACCCGAAACAGGCGCATATTATCTTACACAATAAAAGTACTTCATTACATAGATAATGTATAAAAATAAATTATAAGATTGATTTAATTGTTTATTACAACATTCCTTACATGGAAAACGCAGATCAAAAACCTTATTGACAAACAGTAGTTCCTGACGGAAGTTAAGATCTGTTGTGAAGTCAATTTAGTTTATCGGATATATCTAATGATGAAGATAATTCAAACCCGAGTATTTTTTTTTCTCTACTAATAGAAGCCTTAGTCATAATACATCTTTTCAAAATTAAGTAATTTTTATATTAATATGCTTATTTAAAGAATAAAGGAAAATCAGATATTTTAAATGATTGTTTTAAAGGAGCTAAAATATTGTCCGTGTGCATATATACATGTACTTTGTTGTGAAAAAAATCCTCGGGTTCGTTCTTCATGAGATAAATATGTAAGCGATAAATTTAATTTTTCGAAGGTGATTTCACGCAATATCAACAATGATCAACATAGGAGTATTTTTTGTGTGACCTAACAAAAATTATTTTTTTTAACTTTTGAATTTTGGTATCTTTTAAAAGAAAAAGACTTTGGGGATATAATTTGACAAAAGTTGAAACAATTTATGGACAATTATTTTTCAAGAAGAAAAACGAATATATATTTTTAGCGATTAGAATCGGACCAAGCGGCTTTAATCAACAAAGTATTTTAAATGGGAAGGCTTCTCATGCAGTAACACTCTTTAAATAAGATCATGTTTATGTCAAAAAATTTATGTCTAAATTCTTCGAATTCAACTCCTTAGTCAAATAATATAATAACAATATTCCAAAACTGGAATGTAATTCACATTTTTCATCACGCGTTGCTTTTGTTCACTTATTACATGTTTATTACATAAAAACCCCCTACATCGATAATCAGACGGACTTCTTTTATAAATTTAGATAAGGCCCGGTAAGATTTCATATTGATTTAATAAAAAAAAAATTGTGTACAATCATTTATTAATTATAATTATAAATTATTTATTAATAGTTATTTTGATTTTCCCTAGCAATATACATGTAATAAAAACTTTCGGATTTTAGCTGAAAGACATGTTTAAAAACTCCATATACCAAAAAAAAAAACCCATATGTGATTGTGATACAATTTATTAAGAAATAACAATACATGTTACAGTAGTATTCTTTCAAACATTCTGCGATTATTTTCGTAAATTATAATCCCTTTTTCACCCTCAACCTCATTCAATTACCACCCTAGCCAAAAGGGAATACGAGGAATTATCTCATAAAAGTTGAGAGACAAAATTAGTTTGGAATCGGGATTAAAATTAAACCCCTAAAACAGTATTTAGAAAATAAACATTCGTATTGGATATTTCTGCATGCCTTGCCAACATTAAGAACTTCTAAACCAGGAAGTGAAATAACTTTTAACCCCAAGGACTTAGAACATGTTTATCGAACCAGTACTGTCGTTTTCAATAGCAGTTGCCGATCCTTTGATCAATGGTTAAATGGATCGATTACGCGGTACATGACATTGATTTAATAGATTTTTTCTCTCTCCTTCAACACTTGAGTGATTTTAATGGAACTGCAGAACGATTAAATATTTATATATCATTTGGTTGCTAAAAACCTTGAAATATTTGGTACAAGTTTTTTTTAATAAGGCACACAGACCGCGGTAACGTATGCAAGTTTAAAAAGTCGAAGTATACAATATTTTGAGTTTGAAGACAACAGAATAATTATACCGTTTCATGGTAACGGCAGAACTGCTCTTTTGCAAAAGCTATTGAAAACGGCAGTACTGGGTTAAAAATTATTTTCATTATCATATGGTAATGCTAAAAGAACCCCCAAAAGTTTTGTTTTATTTTCATAATTCACACATTTTATCTACCGGTATAATACTGAATTGACAAAATAATAATATTACTTATTAAACCAAAGGAAATGTGTCATGAATATTGATGAGACATATTCCTTTTTCATGGAGACTCCATTAGGTAGTTATTTTGTCAGCTATGTTCATAGGAAATCTATTTTTCTTTAAAAATATTTCAAAATCTCGCTAAGAAGCTTGTTTAGACGGAACACGCTTTACGGCCTGGTGTCTTCTGGTTTGAAAACCACTACGTCTGAGATTCTGTGCACACTGTTCAGTTTTAAAATCACTCATCTTTTCTGCAATCACTTGGACTGGAGGTCTTTTATCCGCTGATGGATCCATGCACCACACAATAAGATTTTTAGTTGATTCAGTCATATTCACCTCTTGGCATTTATTTATGACATCGTTCATTCCAATGGGATCCACTTTGCTGGTAAACAAATCAAGAGTCATCATTCTCTGGTTGTCAAAACATCGAGTATTGAGCAACAATTCGAAAATCAGAAGACCAAGCGCATACACGTCTGCGCACGCAACATATATTTCCCCCCTCAGAACGTCCGGTGACAAGTATGCAAAATCACCCACAACGATAGACTCCTTGTCCATTGGGAAACTGGCTAAACGTGGAAGACATCCACCGGTTAGTTTAACATTCCCATCAAAGTCTACCTACAAGAACAAAAGAAAATACTTCTTTACAATATTTAAATTTCAAAATGCGAAAAAAAATACTTTCATCATCTCCTTTTTTCATGTTTCAAATATATGTACTTCTCTTCTTACTATAAATGAAAACATACTGTAATGGTGTTCTGACATAGTTCCATGTGGACAAGCTTTTTACTGTGAAGATATTCAAGGCCATAAACCACCTCCTCCAGAAATCTCGGAATCTCCACTCGAAGATTGCAAAAGGTCGATTCTCTATATATTTTTAGACTTCGAAGGTGATCCATATAAACAAATGCAGGGATTGGAGAATCAGAATGGTGAATACCCAAAAACTTTGCTACACATGGGTGATCCAGAAATCTGAAGGAAGATAAAAAAATCAACTTATTTAAAGGTTTTATCATATGCCGTCCTCTTCAGATCTTTGAAAAGGAATGAATGAACCGATAAGGAAAACAGTTTCAAAAATTCTACATAATCTTTTTTCTATATGCTTGACAAATTGCAAAGGAGCATTAAGATTATCGGTTTTTTAAAAGTGTGTACCGTAATTTGGTAACTTCTGCAAAGGTTTCGGAGATTCCGGCCAGAGGAAGATAGACTTTGATGATGATTGCTTCATCACGTTTTTCCTCCTCGTCGTATAAACTCGCATTTTGTAGAGCAGTCCAAATCCCCCTCTGGATGCGTCTGTCTCCTCCTCGAGTGTTGTTCGAGCAATTTAGAATGATTGCTGAACATCGGAAATCACCAGAATCTCCGTAGTCGTTATAATCGTCCCGAAGACGAATTTCCCTTCCAATAAAATCATCCACGTAAATTTGTCCAGTTCCATACTCCAAAAGCTGATGTTTTAAAGTTTCTAAACCTACCATCATCTTTTCATATGTTTCTCTTGATTCATTTGCATCGATGCGGCAATGTGAAATATGGTCTAGTAATTCTTCATTGGAATGGATCATTGCAGGGATATTCTCTTCAATAACCTCCAGTAATTCTCTTGGACGATCAAACATTTCTGAAACAAAGTTAAGAAGTTTATTTTCTTCGCCCTTTTTGGGATGCAAAAACTTTTGAAGAAACTTTTCGGAGACTTGCTTGGCGACATTGAGTGGATCTTTCTGAAACACTTCTTTCTTCCTGTTCCATCTCGCAAATTCGTAAGTTTCATATAAACTAGAATGTCTCAGTGTCTTGGCTAAAGTATCCAATGGATGCAAAAATTTGCCAACCAATCGGACTGGTAGTCGCTGTGCATGTAACGCTCCAAAATCATAGTCTCCACATCGCCCAAGTTTTATTGAGAGGAGTGATGATTTTCGTCGAGTTGTTGAACCATAATATTCTTCTGATGAGACACTATCGGAATCAGAATGCAGTTCACCTTCGATAGACACTAAATCACTCTGTAAAAGATGCAGTTCGGATTTGATTTGGTTGAAGATTTCTTGCTCGACCTTTCGACATTTTTTATTATCTTCCTCCCACTTCGTGAATTCATCAGTTATCCTGTTCAGAAGTATATGATGAATTTTTTGTTTAATTTCCGGCCAAGGATCATCCTCTCGAATATCTATCAAATCTTGGTTCAACCAATGAACAAGTCGGAAATGTGTGGCTGGTTGATTCAAGAAGATTTCAAATGTTTGACAGATTTCTTTAACACTTGCGTCTATATGTGCTTTTTGATCTTTCAGCACCTCCTGTGACTTCAGCCTTAAACTTTGAAGCTTTTCGTGAACATGCTTCATTTTCTCTTTTAAATGTTGTTCATTATCATCGACAGATTTAACTATAGTTTTAAGATGATGAACACTTCGTACTAAGACTGTTTCCATCCACCTAGAAAAAGTACACAGCTGATACAGTAAAACACATAGGTTTTTTGTTTCTTTTATGTTATTTTTCCATGAGATTCAGACACCAGTAAAAGGTAAAACTAATTTGTATGCAAATACTTTCAAAGTTTTTGAAGATCTTTCCTACCAAGATGTGAAAATCATTTGTACAAATTAATCCGACTTACTTGTACGTGGCCTTAACTCTTTTATCAGTTGCCTTGACCACTAACTCTTTCAGTGCCTCCAGAAAGAGTTTGTAATCTTTGGTAATGTAGTCTGGATCAACAGACAGCTCTTCTTTGGCACGTTTTGCAGAAAACCTGATAACGCTGGACCTAACCAGTCCTGGCCAGTAATTTTCCAGCCTCCGGACTATGAATTCATACACATTGTCTTGCTCGTCTTTCTTGATATTGTCCCACATATTACACAAAAATATTGCACATTTTGGATCAAAAACTGTTCCAGCATCGTCAGATTTCTTCTTTTGCTTGTCTATGATTACCTTGAGTAATTTTCCTAGCTGTTGAAATTGAAAGAAAGACTATTATGAGAACAATGAAAGTGTTTCTGAAACTTAGATGTTAACAAAATATAACACAAAATGATTTTATCTAGTCTTGAATATCAATTTTATCTTAACAACTGTAAAATGAAATATTTTCAGGGTTTTAAATTTTCGCGGTTTTAGGTTTGAAGATAAACTATGAATTCGTGGGGATATGATTTCATGGGTAAAGAATTGTTGAGTCTGATAATAGTATGCTAATGATATTTAAAGTCATACACGCTATATGAACGCCGAATTTTGTGTGAAACAAAATGATTAATGATTTGAAACACATGGAGTGTAATGAAAAAATAATACTTTCCACAAAATTTTACTATAGACGTCGTTGTAATAGCAAAACAATTAACCAAAATCTGGCAATTAAGAAATCCGTCTTCTCATGAATATTGATGAAGGACGTGCGTAAACAGTAGGCCTATGTATAGACACGCATGTCCACGGGAAATCACAGACAACGATCGAGTACCTGTTGCATTTTGACAACAATTATTAAGAAAAGGTTAATATGCGTCATAACAGAGTAGATGGTTGATACTGATTACATTAAAAGATAAGTATCATTAAGAGTAAGACGGTTGCCATCCACGTCAAAAGTGAGTTGTATCTCAAACGGCCTACCTTCTTTTCTTCACGGCGTCACATGATGGATTTATTTAAAAATAGCCATTTCTCTCCTAGCAGGGTTATAAATAATTATAATTTGATAACTTTATAACGCGTTTAATTTTCATGGAGTAATTTACAGTATTTACGTAACTTTTATTGATAAACAAAATATATAAATTTCCAATCTTTTTAAAACTGCCATAAGTTATAGCGTGTATACTTTTAACATTTTGTGGTGGACATAAATTTGTGAGACCCTACATACCTCAAATCAACGAAAATCGAACCCCCATAAAAATACTTATTTCACTTGTATCACCTAGTAAATTTAAACTAGCAATTCACCAATTGCATTGGCGTCGGAACCAAGGGGGGGACTAGGGGGTTTTAGCCTCCCTCCCACTTTTTGCAAAAATAGACATTACATAGGCATTAAAAATTGGGATTCACCTTTTTGTTAGTTTAGTCCCCCCCCCCCCCCACGCACTTTTGATTAGCCCCCCAACTTCCAATTTGCTTCCGACGCCCATGAATTGTGTAATGTCGATTATTTTATGTATTATTGAAACGTACTCTGTCCTCGTCGACACCTCCGGCATTGTCAGACTTGATGATGTAAATGAAACCACTGATGTGGTGTTCTGAGACGAATTGTGTGATGACAGAATCCATGGCAGAATTTTCTCCGATTCCTGGAGAGTCCACCAAAACAATCCCGCTCTGTGTTGAAAAATATAAATACATCAGTATATTTACAAAGTAACTGAAACTCTTTGTTAAAACGAGTATTTGCAAGCATTTATCATTAAGAATTAATGAAATAAAAAAAAATGAATATTAAAAAAGAGACAAAGGGTGATGGCGAATTTAGTATCGTCTTTTTAATATCAACCCTTCTATCACACTGTCTGACTTCCATTTTTTTTATTAGATGGTAAGAATTTTTTTGCAATATCATCACTGCAATTCCAAAACGCAGCTTCTTCCTGCCTACCTTCAATTTCTCCACTGGCAAGGATAGTTGAACTTCGTTTATTCTTGATGTCTGTTCTCTGTTGTCTAAATTAGTTTCAAATATTTTCGACCATAACTTTTCCTTCAATTCTCCTTTATGAATGTCCTCTATTTCTTCTGTATCGCCGTTCATATGAACGATGCGAGCCAATCTGCTCACGCCGTAGGAAATTTTTGTAATGACAGAGGTGCAAGGGTTGTGGTGGACCGGTAATATTTCCTCGCCAAAAAAGAGGTTAAGGAAACTTGACTTACCGGCTGTGGTCTCACCTGAAAGATATGGACTAAAAATTCAGAATGAGAAGAAGTCCATATCATGAAGCACGATGTACAAACAATACGGAACTTTTTACAATAAAATAGTATTTTTTCAATCAAGTAAAACTGACCTATGTATTTAAATGAAGGACTATGTAGTCTATGCAAGAAAAATGAACTATATCCCCAAATTTCGTGATAAAATTCTTAAAACACTTATGATAGCCTTCATGTAAAATATAAGAATTTGGTCATCTCAGATGATACATGAATCTATGTTATTAAATATGCTTACTGGCATAGAGAATTTGTTTAAAGAAAATAATTATATTCGCAAAGAGAATCGAAAAAATCAAATAAGGTGTGACCAATTGACAGGGACGATTACTCCTCCATGATACCTGATCCCACCTCTGATGTTTTGGAGGTCCATGTTTGCTCTCCTTCTGATTTGTACTGTTTAAGACCTTAAGACTCCTGTTCGTTTTGTTCATTTTCATTGGAAAGGGACAGACAAATAGCCATACATAAACAAGTGTTCAATTACAATGTAGATGCTATCTGAAGGTTTGCAGCTCCAATATTTAAAATATTCATCATGTCAATATTTGATTTGATGGACATTTAGAAAGGGGATTTTTATTACCTTAGAGCCATCGAGTGTTTAAAGGAAGAATTAAAACTAATGTGAATTTCTTAATTTTAAGTCAGTTATGTATAAACAAAATAAAGAGCTACGCATTCGATATATAAAAACAGTTTATTTAACGTTATATGCTGTGGACATAATCTTGAACATTGTGATGTGACTTAGGACAACCACCTCCCCACCTTGTTTTATTTTACCTGACACAACAATAATGCATTCTCCTGTTTGGATTTGTGAGATCCTTTGATTGAAGTCAATTTCGAAACTTTTCGTCGCCCCCTCCGTCACCAGAAGTTCCTCCAACGCTGTGCTACCCCTTTTGCGTTGCTGGCTCGGAACCTCTGGCACTTCAAATTTCTTTAATGTCCCTTGGATTGTCTTTAACAGTTCAAGTATTTTTTGTCGTTTTCGCTCATCTTCCCGAAAAATTTCCATAAGTTTATCAAATATCTACAAAAAAAGTAGAAAATGATTAAAATATGAAAAATTTTATTTACACAATCATCACACTATGTTATCATCTTTATTAATTTTTTCGAGCATAATATTCTTAACACGTGTGTCTATGCATCAATTTTGAATACAGCTTTTGGAGATACGTCATGCAATTCGTGTATTGAGCAAAAATGTTTTTCACCATTTGCAACACAGGGTACTCAGTATTTAACCTCTTTCCTCTTAAGACAAATGTTGAAAGACAACAAATTATTGATGAATATAAATCAATATTGTTCACTTTTGTGGGGAAGGTAAATGCAAAATAAAGTGTTCAATTAATATCGACTAATCACTATAATCAGAATTGTTGAATTCATATCTACTTCAGCAATGTACTGTAGATTTCTAGAACGACAAATTAATCTTACTCCGTACAAATACCACAGAATACGAACTCTTCGACTACCAGTGTTTCGAGATTTCTTTTTTTATCATTAAAATGAATTGACAAATGGATAAAAGGATAAGAAAATTTAATAAAAATCCCTTAACAATAGAATTAAAAAAGTTAAGTTATAGACGTGAACATATTTAAAATGCTTAATATTTCAAGAAGGATGTGATTCAGTCTTTTTATTGCCTTTAACATTAAAGGTTTTACTAAATTTTCAAAGAAAGGGTGTTAAACACTCAGAAGTCTATCTTGAACATGGTTTTTTTGGTGGGAAATGATGTTATAAAAATGATTTCAATTAAGCAATTCCACACCATTATTTAATTCAAGATATCGTGTCTCTTCAACTTGGTCCTTAATGTTACTTCGGGAGGTTTAAATCTTAACAATGATAATGCAGCAAGCCTTTGTGTATTATAATGGACTTCTTCACAATAATATCCGCTGCTTTTAAAATGTCATCGTGATCCTGTACTGTATTATGTTCTTGATAGAAATTACCAACGAACCGCGAAAGAATTCAGTCTGAAGGATCTTCAGTTGAAAAGTTAACTATTGTATTAACCTCGAAACATAGCAATAAAACAAAACCTTTTAATTACAACAGAATCATAGATCATGTCTAATTTTTAAAAGGGGATGTTAGCATCATATATAATTTTGAGTTTTAAATAAGTATTTTTTACAATGTGCTCTTACAGACTAAATTCAGTAAACCTTCATTGTAGCATGGAAGTCAATCTCGAAGTAAGGTCCAATTGCTTTAGAAACAACTATGCATTTTGAAAGAAAGTATTTTAACTTTTGCTTAATTGATGGGAGAGGGAGGGGTTATATTTGTAAAAAAAATGTTAAAAAAGGGATGTAAACGAAACATCGATTTGCGAATCTTTTACCGATGATGTGTCGGGATTTTTAAAAATTCAACAACATTCCTTACCTCTTTAAAAGTAGTTAAGAAGATAGACAAACATTTCCTCATTAAATATTTATTATTTACTTTGAACACACTATGGACGATATTAAATTACTATAGACACAGATTGCTGTCCTGAGATTTAGACGATAATCTGTCAATAAGGCTTTGAGGTCATTAAATAATGTTAATGTTTTTTGATGAAATGAAAGTCATTGTTGAGGAAACTTAAATTGAACAGTCTGTTTGCGGCTTAAATTTTTACGTCAGTGTTGTATGTAATATTGTATAATGTCTAAAATATTTGCAGGGGTACACATGTAATTTTTTGATTGATTTTTTTTAAATGTACAGCCTCTGTGCCCTTAATTTAATTTTTTTTTTTACTGTTGTTTCTTATGATGTTGCCAAAATGTTTGCATATGCAGATGCAATCAGTTATTAAATGGGACTTTAACACTTTGTCTCTTTTTGACACACACTGAGCATTTTTTCAATAAAATACCTTGCAAAACTGGAACGTAGTTTAAGAAACAACAAATAGATTGGTGTAGTCCAGGGAACCACAGATAGATTGAGATTGGTGTAGTTCAGGGAACCACCGATAGATTGAGATTGGTGTAGGTCAGGGAACCACAGATAGATTGAGATTGGTGTAGTTCAGGGAACCACAGATAGATTGAGATTGGTGTAGTTCAGAAAACCACAGATAGATTGAGATTGGTGTAGTTCAGGGAACCACAGATAGATTGAGATTGGTGTAGTTCAGGGAACCACAGATAGATTGAGATTGGTGTAGTTCAGGGAACCACAGATAGATTGAGATTGGTGTAGTTCAGGGAACCACAGATAGATTGAGATTGGTGTAGTTCAGGGAACCACAGATAGATTGAGATAGGTGTAGTTCAGGGAACCATAGATAGATTGAGATTGGTGTAGTTCAGGGAACCACATATAGATTGAGATTGGTGTAGTTCAGGGAACCACAGATAGATTGAGATTGGTGTAGTTCAGGGAACCACAGATAGACTACAGATAAATTGGTGTTGTTTAAGAAACCACAAATAGATTCAGATTGGTGTAGTTCAGAAAACCACATATAGATTGGTGTAGTTTAGGAAACCACAAATAGATTGATGTAGTTTAGGAAACCACAAATAGATTGGAGTAGTTAAGGAAACTACAGATAAATTGGTGTAGTTCAGGGAACCACAAATAGATTGATGTAGTTTAGGAAAACACATAAAGATTGGTGTAATACAAGCAACCATAAATATGTGTACAGAAAACTTTTGTCATAATGACGTTGCTACATATTGAAATCTTTGACACATATCCCCTCACCTGTGTTTTGAAGTTGCCTTTTTCCTTCTCTATGTGCATGATCAGCCTCTCTTTGATGCTATCTAGGTCAGACAGTCCCCACAAATTGACGTCCAGGGCTTCCCCAATTTCACAAGCATCATCAAGATCATCGCAAGCATCTATGTCCTCAACCGTATAATGTACTGTGTCCTCTCGCTTTGTTACAGCGTAATCTCTTCTAGACATTGTGTTACCTTTTTTCCTTTCCCTGGAACAATTTATCCACGATTTTATCACATAACGTTGAATATCAAACAAAGCAAAACAACATGCTTAGGTCTACGACATGATGCCCTCTTCCATGAATGGTTCTAAATATCACATCTCATTACCTGCTTCAGGACTTTTAAAATTTTCTTCCTACCTGGAAAAAGAATTGAGAGATTTTATTTAACGGAAGAAAACGGATTTAAGCAGCATTATGCGAAGGGGATATTTTGAAGCTCGTAATACAGATAATAACATACACCCCAGTCGGTCTTCTTTCAGAACAAATTGGTTCCGCTCTAATAATTACCTACTATGACACCAAGGTTCCTATCTATCTAATGAACTAAAAATAGCTTACAAATACCTGGAATGGTATATTTGTTTCGGGTACTAGTCATGGTTACGGAGGGTAAGTTTCAACTTTTTCGAAGAATAAAGGAAGTTAAAAATAAAATAGGAAAGAATACATTAAGGTGTGCAGTGGAATTTCCAGAGTGTGGGCTTTCGCACTATTTTTCGTACAGAGGTTTGATTTAAAAAAAAAAATAGCGATACTGAAACTTATGATTAATTTCTTTCTTTAGATTAAACATCAAACTATCTTCTTTCTCTCAGCAAATTATTATAAAAAGATGCCAGAATAATGACAATAATTTTATTATTTTCTTTCTATTGTTATTATTATATTTGTAAACCGAAGTCCCGTGTCACAATAGATCTAGAAACAAGAAATACTTGAGTTCAAAGCTTAAAGTTCCCAAGTGCCGAGTACAAGTCGACTACATTTTTTGCGCCTTACTATCACTGCCAAGTTTTGGCATCTCAATATGAGTATATAAGCGAGATAGATTAATAAATTCTTAGTACATTTATATAAGATATAGTTGAAACCTGGATAGAAGAGCAAAGAAATAGCAGTAAATACTTGAACATGTATCTACAGCTTACAGTCCTGGAACAGGAAAACAGCATGTATTAAGAAACAGAGTAAAAGAAAACGTGATGAAAGCTTCTTTATGAAAGTAAATGAATTTTTAAAAGCCTACATTTTAATACTTACGACCGTGTCTTCTAGAATTCTTTCATTTGCTCAAGAAGTGCACAAACATGCAGCGCTTAGCCAGATCGCACAAAGAACTGTACTAGCTTCAAGAATAACCGGCTATTGTGAAGATTTTTAAATGCATTCATTCTGTCTTTCAAAAGATTTGGTCAGATATCTAGCTATCTAGTTCATCTATATCCGTTTTTTGACTCAGTCAAGAATCGCCACGAGGGCGTTAATTAAATGATGAGAAATAGTGATTGATCAGCGCTTAGTGATCTAATTAAGAAATTATTTTGCATGCAATACACATAATTCGCAAAACATTTATTAAAATCTTGTAAAACGAAACCAAAAGGAGGGATTTTCGAAACTAAATATTGTTGAATAACAGAGACACAAAGGACATGTTATTTATATGTCTCTGAAAATAACAGAGATTCGCAACTCCGCCATTAGCATGTTTGTTTACAGAAATATGTGATGGTCCTGGTACGATCCTAAGAATAACTCTTTTTTTGCCCTATATTTCAATCTAAATAAAATTAATATTAATTCTATACCAATTAGAGATATATGGTTGTATGATTTGTAAAGTTTTAATATGATTTTTCTAACCAATCTTACGGAAGCCCATTAGTGCCAACCTGTATATATAAAGGAAAAGCTATATATAAAAGCAAACCTGTATATATAAAGGAAATGCGATATATATAAACAAAACCTGGATATATGTAAAGGAAATGCGATATATATAAACAAAACTGGTATATATATAAAGGAAATGCGATATATATAAACAAAACCTGGATATATATAAAGGAAATACGAAATATATAAACAAAACCTCGATATATATAAAGAGAAATGCGATATATATAAAGAGAAAATTTTCCACAGCGTGACCTGTAGAACTCGGCTGCCCATCAAGATTATATACAGATTAACCCCTGGCAGGGGGGAATCAGTTATAAAGTACTCATTTATAACTTTCCCAGAATCGGCAAAATGTTGCTATATCATAGTGTTTATTTGTTTGTACGTGCATATATCACGTGTATCAACGAACTGTAATTGTAACATTACTTAAAATAATGCATTTAATTGAGAAGAAGAGCATTTACAGGGACGGATCCAGGAATTTCGTAACGGGGAGGGGGAGCAGTGGAAGGCAGAGGGGTTCTGGTCGCTGTACGGATTTTAGGATAATGCATGGACCTATAAATTTTATATACAAATATTTCAAACGGGGGGGGGGGGGGGGGGCGCACGCCCGGCGCGCTAGCCCTGGATCCGCCTTTGATTTAATTATTGATATTAATGAAATAAGTATAATATCTATCGTATTTTCTGTGCATTTTTTGGCTTTACATGTATATGATCAACTTCTTTTTTACAACCTATAGCTACATTGTTTACTGTTTTACAAAAAACTTAGCCGTACTACCTTTGGTTTCACAACCGAGAATTTATGAAAATAATGTTTAACGGGAAGTCTTAAATTCATTGAAAAAATAATTAACTAGTATGTATGCCCATTGATTGTTAATAAATAATCAATATATATATCGGAATTGGAGAGAGGGAGGGATGAAGGTACCCACTTCTTATGAATGTGAGGGAAGAAAGTGACAAGTAAAATTATACTAATACTGTAATAATTTTAGGGTCTTTAATGGTGTGAAAAAAATATCAAGTATTTGGAAATTAATAAAAAAAAAAGAAGCGAATTAGTGCATATTTACACTCACATAATCAAACTGCGGATTTTTGTCCCACGTCGTAAATAAAATCGATTTGAAATTCTCCATACATCATGCAAAACATAGTAAAACGTTAAAGAACGTATAAAGTATGATAAAACACACTTGTATTTTTACACTGAATTATAGTTCGATTGAAAAGACGTACTCCAACATTAATATACATTTTAAGAGAAGTCTCTAAAGTCTTTGAAATGTAATTCAATTCACTTCAATTTATTCACTGAAAAACCATGTAAAGGGTACATGAGGTACAGAAATTAACATAAAAAACATATACTAGTATATACATATACAGTGGGTCAAGCAGAAGGTGATAACTAAGGGGAACAGACAACACTATTAATTTTAGAAATAAATGTACATAATTTTTTCAAAGAATCAACATCATTTTGGCACAATAGGAAGAGCAGCAGTTTTTTAGCTTTAGTTTTAATCATCATAATTATCAAGATACATAAAGAAAGAAAACAACACTCTGAATACCATCCTGAAACAGCCACACCAACTGATCGCAATCAAAACATTAGATCGGGAGCTGCTTATCATATGTTGGCGAAGTTGTAATAAAGGTCATTAAGATGTTAAAGGTCAGGCGGTGGAAATTTTTCTCTTTATATATATCGAAGTTTTCTTTATATATTTCTCACTTCTCTTTATATATATCGCATTTCCTTTATATATATATCGAGGTTTTGTTTATATATTTCGCATTTCCTTTATATATATCCAGGTTTTGTATATATATATCGCATTTCCTTTATGTATATCCAGGTTTTCTTTATATATATCGCAATTTCTTTATATATCGAGGTTTGCTTTTATACATTGCATTTCCTTTATATATACAGGTTGGCATTAATGGGCTTCCGTACAATCTAAAATGAACTAGGCAATTAAAAGAGGTCAATGATCGACAGTTTGCAAAATCGAGGCAATATGGCCGATCAAGAGTCATCTGCTGCAATTTCTTATTTTTCCTTTAATATTGTGTTACATAAAGAAACTTACAAAAAAATAGTATTCTTAATAATTTGTTTATATAATTTTTATAAAATCACTATGTGATCCTTTTATGTGATTTAAAGTTTTATGTGATTTAATTGTAAGTTGCACGAGATTTGAAAACTTAAACAATAGGGAATGCGATATCGCACGAATTTTTCGAACAGCTGCGAATCTCTATTATACTGTTATATCTCTGTGAATACAAAAGTAATATAATGAAATTTAGAATTGATGCATTCTTGTATGCTTTCTACAGATTTAGAATGATTAAAACGGAATTTTAATATCTTAATGTTTTAATTTAATGATTAAGAAACTATTCGAATACATGTTCGTCTCTCTGCAAACTTATTGAAATAAAATATTAAAAAACAAATGGATTGAAATCATGCCAAGAACTCAAATACTTCAGTATATACCGTTTTTTCACATTCTTATTTTTCTTCAAAATTAAACTTTTCTATAATGCATTCAAAAGCTTCCGCCCCATTTCTGACTTTTACTAATTATTCTGCCTTGCAAACTGACTTTAGAATAATTTATTAATCATGTAAATTTTGGTCCTTTCACCTAGAAAAAACAAAACTTGAGGTCAGAACTATTTCAAATAAAGAAGACACATAATCCATGTTAATCATATTTCGGCTGATGCAACTTTTTTTTTTCAAAACTGAATACTTTGATATTTTCTATACTTAAGCATTGAATTCATATTTTGGGATGTCTTTGGTCCTATAACACACCTGGCCGTGCCGACAAATTATCATACAGCGCGTTAGCGTGGTATGATAATTTGCCGGCACGGCCAGGTGTGTTATAGGACCGAAGACATCCCAAAATATGAATTCAATACTTATATCTACATTCTTTAATTTTTCATCTTCATAATTGTTTATTTCGGTAATCTTTGATGTAAATTTAGCGCCCTTCAAAACTGGTGTGCTTTATAGACGTAAGAGCCGTTTGTGACGTTTGTGACGTCGTAAAGTTAAATAACGCAAATGAACATTGCGGGGAAGAAAAGTGACAAATTAATTTAAAATGCACATTTGTTGTATTTTTACGTTAATTCAACAGGGTTAATTTATTAAAAGTTGAATTTAGTCAAACAATGTACGTTTTGGTGTTCATAAAGTACATGTATGTAATAAAATGCTTATAGTTCCTACTGTGTATTTTAACGCGCGGTAATAAGGTTTCGCGTGTGTTGTAGAGATTTGAACGTCATGGATTTATAATGGATTTCATAAAGAAAAATACACTGAATGTAAATATTAAATGATGACAAAAGAATAAAACATGCCAGGGGCGTAGCAACCGGGGGGCCAGTTTTTTTTCCCAACCTTACTTATACTATCGGAAATGTTAATTGAAAGCCTGGTTGGCCCCCCCACTTTTAGTGATGTACAGAAAATGTAGTATTAGAATTGATACTGAAAGTAGTTGACACTGAGAAAAAGTTTACCTCACCCCCCCCAAAAAAAAGAAATAGGATTTTCGACTTTGGGCAACTTTTCCCTTTTTTTTTTTTTTTTTTTTTTTTTTTTTTTTTTTTTTGCTTGTCAACTTTTTACAGGTAAGTAAAAATCTTTTTTCTCTGGCTGCCCCCCCCCCCCATTTTCAAAAACGATGCTACGCCACTGCATGCATAAACGTTTTACGGTAACTGTATCTTACAATGGATTCTAAAAAGATGTGATCTTATGACATGTTTAATCATACAATTTGTATAAAAATTGTGGAACAAAAGAATTAACATCTTAATTTCAATTAACGTAGTTATTTGGTTTTTTTTTTAAAAAATCAGTCATGAAATCTTTTCAGAATGTTATAGTTTAAAATAATGATGTATGTAGATGTTACATTCCATTTAAAATTATTTCTCCACATTCATTGATAATGAATAAGATATATTTTAAACTTAAATCACACTGTAATATATTGTCGATTGGAACATTAAATAATCATTGGATACATTTATAAAAGATGAAAATTACTTACGATTTAGACATCGAAAAGTGTATGCACTTTTAAAAAATGCGAGTTTTAGAATATGTAACGTAACAAATACTAGATATCATTCACATATGAATGAAAAAATCTAAAATTAATACAATTTAAAGTTCTTTATTTCTTCTTAAAAGAAGAACAATAGACAAATATGCGCTGGCCATGTTTTAAGTCAGTAAAAAAGTGGGCGTCCTCATTATCGTACGGAGATTGAAGAAACTGTGAAGTACCCCGCCGTAGAAAACAGATTCGTATATCGTAAATATATACTTTATAGTAATTGAGTAAAGTTAAACATTAGATGTTGGTCACTCTTGTAATTAAAAGAAAAATGTCTGTTTTTAAAGTTTATTTTGACGTAAATTTTGCAAAACCTGAAGTACAGTCATCCTTTGCTAACAGAGTCATTATAATAACGTCAGCAGCATTACTTTCTTTTAAACATAGAGTTCTAAGCGAATGAATTGGGAGACATTCATGCACACAATAAGCATGTGATAGTGGAATATTACTACAAAATAAAGTAAAGGATGAAAAAGTGGATTGATTGATTGATTGTTTATTGTTTAACGCCAAGTTTATCTGGCGACCCCCAGTGAGCCTACTCTTTTTCGAATTCCAGAGAAACGATCTTTTACATATTTTTATATTTGCTGTATTTCTCAATCAATAAACTTTTCATTTAAGTCCATTATATTATCCTACAGTTCAGAGAAGAACAAATCGTCCCTTATTTTATTGGGCTCATTTATTTAATTTTACACAATCAACTAACAAAACGTGAAGACAACAAATGAGAATTAATCTTAAATATACTTAAAGTACAAAGCAAACAAATGCATGAAACTCCAAAGAGATGAAATTAGGTGCCATGGTTTTTAACTTTCACCTTCAAAATGAGTGGGTTTTTTTATTATAAGGTTCAACATCATTTATTTTACAAAATATTTTTTTTTTCAACACAATCAAGCGCTTTTTTTGTTTTTCAATTTGAGTACCATTTTACATATAAAGATAACTTTTTTTCACATTAAACTTATTTTTAAAATCAAACCGTCTGATGATTTCAGAAAAGTGCACACTACAAAACATGGGTAGGTGTCATTTGTACTTTTTCTTTTACAAAATCTTTTTATTTCTCCCAAAAGTCTTGAATTCACTATATTAATATCTGGTCAGCGCAGTGAATATAGAAAAAAAAATCATTTTCAATTGTTTTAACACAAAACTAATCAATTATCGGAATGGTTGTTTAAAAAAAAGAGAGATAAATAAATCAAGAGATAAAAACACAAACGAGGAAACAACAGCAAGTCCGATAAGGAAACAAACAAACATTTTTAGAATAGCAGGGACCAGATGTGCTTCTGACAAAAAACTTATAATATCGATTCTGAAAAAAAGTTGAATAGCAGATATGTTGAAAATAGTTGCACACTTTAAAATGACAAGATAGGAACAACAACAACAACAACAACAACAAACTATGAAACCTTTAAAACAGGTAAAACTTAAAAACAACGACCATCATAGACTTTTTAATGTCATCAAGTCCCTCCAGAATTGCATCTTCATAAATTGACCGCATTTTCTGAGACAGACATTTCATATCAGCTCGGATTATCAACATGATGCATTGCTTCTTTTAAGATAGAGGTACACCTGCATGCAATACATGTATTTGTACATGACCTTCCCCAACATTACGCCCCATGTCTCCTGAACAAAAAGACGAACGACAAATAAATAGAAGCACGAAAAAATTCTGATTTACACCTCAAAAGATACGGTCGATTTACCTAACACTGGATGATCACGTGTTTATGGAATCAGATATGATGATCTGCTGAGATATGCTTTGAGTGAAAGAGAAGTGTGTAATCTGCAATCAGTGGTATACCGTAATTCAAAATTATCTTTAAAGTCTTTTTACAAATAAAAATAAATAAAGTTATTGAAAAAACATATTTCTCTCAGTGCGACCTTGTTCCCGGAATCAAAGTGTTCAACAGCAATCAGAAAAACCTCAATGTGTGCTCCCGTAACCTTGGTATTCTATTCTGGTAAGGTTTCTTGACTGAAAGTCGACGTACTCCCTCGCCGTCGCCTTCTGTCATGTCTATGGTGATCCGTAGAAAAAATAACCAAGAAATCTGAAATGCTTGGTCTCAATTCAGGATCATTGAGCAAGCTGCGCATAATCAAATCTTTGCTCGTTTCATTAATCTCAACTAAACTTTGTTTCAGATTCAGCATGGTAGCAGCGTCGACTCCAAGAATGAAATCCGAAAGTTTCATCGATCTTTGAGCTTCAAATGCTCCAACGATCAAAAGCATCTCAAACATGAATAAGCCAAATGAGTACACGTCATCTTTTGCTGTGTACATTTCCCCACTTAGGACTCCTTTAGAGAGGTACACGAACTCCTGTGCTTGTACGTGATCTTTGTCGAGTGGCAACATGGCTTTCTTGGGTAGACATGCCCCGCTAAGTTTCACAATCCCCTACAGTAAAGAGAAAGTTAGGAGGACTTGTTAAAACATACTAGTATTAAGTATGAGATTATTCTTGCAAAAAAAGAGTTGCAATATGTGCATCCTGAAGCGAAATATGTTCTCAGTTGCATTGTATCTTCATATCTTAAAAATTATAAAATGAAGAAAATTCTATTCGAGAAAATCTGGATAGACCGTAGATGCACTTATTATACCCCCTCCGCTTTATAAGCAGGAGGGTATATAGTGCATGAAAGGGATGTACGTCTGTCAGTATGTACGTCCATCAGCTATGCTTTAGGGTACCCATCTCTTATCTGCAACTCATTTTTTTCTACTGAGTGAAATTAAATGAGACTTTCAAAGATTCTTTATCACATAATGCAGTTGTGCACCTTATATGTTACTTTTTGATCTGACACTTATTTCGAAATTCTCAGAGCAAAACAGACTTCGCCATGATAATCATATGGGAAGCGGGGTATTATTTAATAGGCGCATTCCTCACAGTATCTCTAATTTGTTTTGCAGTCATAAATATTTGAAAAAACAAAATGTTTTTGAAACACTGATGCCTCCAGCTGGCAGCTTTTGGCAAGTGTATGTTAAAGTTTCCAAAATGGAAGTCGAACTCGGTCAAGAGATAAAAAATGCTGAAACCCCCCAAAAGGTCTTGTATTGGAAAATAATTCTTTGAAATATGGAAGGTCAAGCACCAACCGTTAAAAAGGATAAATTTTGGAAAAAATAAAATAAAAAGCGGGTCAAATTCCAAGGTCAAGTAAGTTGGTACCCTAAGAATAGTCTTGTCACAAGTAGTACACATGTAAAAATGAAGCCGTATATCTTGAACTAATAAAAAGATGGAGGCAAAGTTATAGTTTTTCTTAGGGCAAACAACTTTACAGACAAACAGAAAGACAGACAGGCATTGGGAAATGTACATACTCCGAATGTTCGCGTACGGTGCATAAAATGGTGTGGTAAAGTAATTTGCCCGAGTGTATAAGATAATTTCTTTTCAGCAAATTTATTTACATTTGTAAGTTTCTCCTTGGAAACTTTAACTGTACTAGATGTAAGTTCCATATGAACCATATCTCGTTCATGCAAGTAGACCATTCCTTCAACCACTTCATGAAGTATTCGTTTGACTTGCACATCTCTTTCTAAAGGATGGTGCTTCAGATAGTCATTAACGGATGTCAGATGGCCGTCATATATAAGAGCTGGAGTCGGTGCATCAGAATGCGAAATTCCGAGAAATTCAGCAACATGTTGATTTTGTAAGGACCTAGATAAAAACAAAGTACAGCTTCAAAAACATACTGGCTTTCATTCTTCATGGTGCTTTATTTGTAATTTTGCAAAATAAGACTATTTCATTTATAACTGGAAACCTTGGGAAGTGTGCCTGGTCAAGAATGACAATTTCAAAATATTATTTGGTCATCTATAATCGTGCTAACAATTACGTCCCTTGGAGACATGATTCTATAAATGGAAAACGCGTGCAATTTGTAAACGTTGAATAATTTGATGGAATGTTTACCTCAACTTGGCTATCTCTGAGTGTACTTCGGTCACTCCTGAGCTTGGAAGGTAGACACGGATAAAAATATTATGCTCCTGTCCTTCCTTATTCATATGGTATCCATTCTGAAATCCAGTCCAAAGACCACGTTCCAACTCTTTCCCTGGTTCCTGGACCATTGTTGAAGAGCTTATTGTCCTTGCCACATCAGAAGACCGAAAAGATTTGTGGCCTGTTTTGCAGGAATGATCTCTCACACGAAGCTCATTTACATTGTAATCCGCAACAAAAATGTACCCTTTTCCATACTCTCTTAACTTCTCTCGCAGTTTCTCGAAGTCGGTCATCATCTTGACGTAAGTCTCGCGAGATTCAATGGAATCGGACCGACAGTGGATTATATGATCCAGGGCTTCTTGGTTCGCTTTAATAACGGACGGAATTCTCATTTCTAGCATTTGCAGAAATTGACATGGTCTTTCCAACAAAGCTTGAATAAAATCAATCATAATGTCATGCTTTTCATCCACACACATCTTCAAAAACTTTTCAGACTTCTTGTGAGCTATTTTAGTAGGATGGGCCTTAAATTCCTGCATCTTTTTGCTAACAACAACCGAGTCATAGATTGTTGACCTACGGATTTTCATTTTAAAATTACGAGCTATATTCTTGATCGGAGAAATGTATCTTGCAAGGATGGATACATTCAAAGGCATTAATTCTTCCTCGGCGCTTTGTGAAGAGGTAGAGGATAAGTACACATTCATATTACTCAAACTGAATGTAGACAATCTTTTGGCAGCGAATTTACCTCTTCTGTGGCTAATGGTTGAGTGCATGTCTTCTCTATCATTTGAGTTCCTAGACATACTAATGTCTTGTTCAATCTTCCCAATTTGGTTTTCAAGACCTCGAAACTCCTCTTTAACCTCTTGGTAAAGTTCATCTTCTAGCTTTTTCACCCAATTCTTCTCTTCATCCCATTCTTTCAACTCGAGAGAAACTCGATCTGCTGTTATGTCGTCAATTTGTTCTTTGATCTCCTCCCAATTACATGAGTCTGATTGAGGTACCTCCTTTTCAATCCAATTAGTGATTCGCAATCTTGTTTGGGGTAGCTGTAAATGTTCTCGAAAGTTCTTGCAAATCTCCAATGCAGTTTCATCCACTTTTGATCTGAGAGTGGTCACAATGGAGTCAGAATCTTTTTTCAAAATTTCCAACTTTTGAGATAGGTCTTGAATCTTTTCCTTCCCTAAATTTTCATCGTTGTTAATTTGTCTCACAATTGTCTTGCTATGGTGAATCCCTCTTGTTAATAAATTGTCTATCCACCTGAAAAGAAATTTTAATGTTGTGTCATAGTCAATGAGAATTTAAAAAAAAATTAATCATCAATTACATCGTAATTGATAAATTTATTGGAAATCGTGTACTTTATGACTCATTGGTTCATTATTTTATAATTTGAATATTAAAAAATATATAGGTAGAAAAAAGGTTAAGATAGACGCAAACCATATTTCTGAAATTATTTCTCTACCTAACGATTATAAATCATTTCAAAACCTTTAATAGCTGCATCTTTGTATTAAATCTCAATGATATTAAACAAAAAACTACAGTAATATGGTTCAATTCTTATCTCCCATAAATATACATTGTAATTGTTATTAATTCTATGCTGCTTATTAACAAAATCACAATGAATGGTGGTTGGCATTTTACACACTGATGAAGATTCTATAACAAGATATGTATTTCATTGTTTTACTTACTTAAATGTTGAATAAATTCTTCTTTCCATCGCTTTAGAATGCAGCTCTTGAATCGCCATCAACAATTTCATATAATCGTCTGTTATAAACTTCCTACTGACAGAGAGCTCTCTATTCGCTTTCTTCGCAGAAAATCGCAAAACTTGTGACCGTGAGAGATTTGTCCAGTATTTATGGAGACGTGAGCATGCGTGGTCAAAAACCTTTGGCTGCTCCTCTTTTTGGATAAGATCCCAAAGGTTGCAAATGAAGATGGCGCAACTGGGATCAAACGGCAAGCCTGATTGGCTAGACCTCTTTTTCTGATTTTCCATAATTAGGCGTAAGAGAGCACCTAGCTTTTAAAACAAATACCTTTTTATTTTCAATTGTTTTAGAAAGGAGCATTTACTAAGCTCATATATAAATGTTTAGAGCTTTTTTTATTTTATTTTTTATTCAAAAATTAAAACCGATTCATATTTTGCAAAATAAGATTAAGACACCATATAAGCATTTACCTTATCCTCATCAACTCCTCCTGCGCTGTCTGACTTGATGAGGTAAATAAATCCCATTATTTCATTGGCGGAAACAAAGTTGCCAATCACCGAATCCATGAGCTCATTTTCACCGATGCCCGGGGAATCCACGATTACTAACCCACACTTCAAAGAAAAAAAATATCTTAAATAGATAAAGAGATTGACTCCCTGCAAATAGTAGTCTATGTGATTACAATACTACCGAAAGCTAGTGGGGTGAATCAGCATTATATGTGAGTTTACTAGAACTTGAAATATTTGTAACAAACCCGAAGAAGATTTGCTGATATATACACTTGAACCTCTCTGACGTCAGAAACCAGTTCTCGTTTCTCTGCATCTTTCTCAAATAATATGTCTTTAAGTATTTCACGGAGTGATTTAATGTCACAATTTTTTATGACGTAATCTTCTTTATCGCCCTTATAAATAATGCGAGCACCATTTTTGTCTGCATAGGAAATTCGGGTGACAACAGAACTACATGGAAGGGCATGGGTAGGTAGTAAATTTTCTTCCAACAAAAGGTTTAGCACTGTGGATTTTCCAGCTCCAGTCTCACCTGGAACAAAAATTACTTAATTTGCACTATACGTTACATAAAGGATATTCAATGTTTGTAGTTGAATAAAGAATTCACTTCACGAGTTGAAGGAGTTTTAAATATTGTCACGGGTGCGATGAAAGATATGGAGATAACAAACATACATGTGTATTAAATACCAAAGTTCATAAAACAATACAAGATAGGAACAGAACGAACACGGACCTCCAAAACAACACAGGTGGGATCAGGTGCCATGGAGGAGTCAGCATCCCCTGCCGACCGGTCACGCAAAACAGAAGTGAAAATATTAAAACACCCTGATTCAGAAGTGAAACAAATGCCAAACCCAACCACAGAGTATCGTTTATTACATTTTCTTTGATTTTCCGGTTGCTTGAGTCTTTCTGGCATATGCTGTAAATTTAAAATTGCGGATGGGACAATATACTTTGTTATTGTGAGTTCGAGAACTAATATAAGTATTAATTTCAACAACATATATAAGCATTTTATTCGCAGTCAGAAAAATTTATTTACTCTTATTATAAGGTAAGAAGAATTCTTTTTTTTTTTTACAAAATTCTTCAAGAGAAGGAATTTTTTTTTTGCCACGGTTTGACAGTATATTATTTTGATATCCAAGCAAACCGTGACAGAATAAAACTTGTACTTTTAATCGTTCAATTATTATAGTATTTCACTGTTGAATGATTACTGATAAGTACAAGTCTGTTATGCGTATTGTATGTTAAATGACAGTGATAGAATCTCACTTTTTTGAGATGGGTGTATGGTTCGCAAAAATTGCATTTTGATCGAAAACATTAACCGCCAGTTGTAGTCGATATTATACCGTTGACATAGTTATTCATTGCATTAAATATAACATATATATTTACCAGAAACTACTACCACACAGTCTCCTTTCTCAACCAATCGTTTTCTTCTTTGAATATCCTCGCTGAGTTCATTTATTATGCCCTCAGTCTTAAGAAACCCTTCTATTGCTTGAATTCCCTCATTTCCCTTTTCATCTTCAGTTTCTTTCTTGTAATTTTGGAATGTATCCTGACAAATGATCAGCATCTCCACCAATCTGTTTCGCTTCTGTAAATTTTCTCTTTGGACACCTTGCATTGCCTTTTCAATCTGATAATACGAAGATGCAAAATTAAGATCATTCAGATAATATATTTAGATTTAAAAAAACCCCAAGAAGTTCATCATAAGCAATGCCTAAATTGCGACATACATGTACGTATGTACATTTAACGAAGAAGCACATTCTTGGAATGATTTTTAATCAATCTTATATAATGCTATGAATGAGAAGCCTTCTTTTGACCATAGAGTTATTAAACTCTGCCAAATAATTTAATGAACTTTTTCTGATCATGCGTGGGTTAACCTATAGCAAACTTATAAAAATACGATGATTTCAACTTTTTTCTTATCAACTGCATATGATATTGATTACACAGCAAGTGCATGCTCGACGGGAAATAAAATTGCTAGAACACTTCATTAACAGACAAGTTGCTCGTTGCAATGGTTTTTGGTAAATATAATGTAAAAAAAATATGACTCATGTTTTATACCGATTTTAGGCGATTATTAAACACTTAGTTGTCTACAATTTTTTTATTTGCACGAACATGTCAATGAGCACATGGTGAGCATAACTGGCTATGACCCGTGGACAGAGAATATTTACTTCTCTATGGCACTTGGTTTCACTTCTGATGTTTTTAGAAGTATTTCTTTGTTGTATTCCTGATTTGTATTATTTCAGTGGACTTTTGAACTTGATTGCTATTCGTAATTGCCTCTATTACATTCCAACTGTTTATCAAAATTAGAAAAAAAAAATGGAGTAGAGCCAAATAAACTGATTGACAAAACAATATGCCTATTATCTTCGATTTTCCAGCATAAATAAGGTTTAAACATAAAAAATAACACATGAAACATTATTAACTAATGCAATATGAGCTGTATTTTTTTCTTCATGTTCTTAAAATTTGCTACTAGTATTTTGATAAATCTGTATGTTATTGAATCCTTTATGATCAATCAGACTTAAAAAACATTAATTTTTCAGAAGAAAGTTTTCTGTAAAATGGAATGTATAGTATTTTATAGTATAAGATATCAATATTGTACAGGACGACAATAATGTAATTTTTCTTCATTCAAAGCATAAATATAGTTCATCAATCGCAAATACATGTACGAACAACACAAGTTTAAAAATGTACATTTTTCTGTCATTGAAATATTTATTGCAATATATACTGCAACAAGAAATTCCATATCAAATTTGCAGCTCATATTGCTGTGAGTGCCCGACGGCATGTTGAGTGATACCGAATAAAAACTCGTTCAGAATTTTAAATTTCTGGCTTTTAATCGAAGTCTTTCCTGTTAAAGAATTACACAGTGTAAACATGGCCATGCTGTAATTTGGTTACCGATTTCGTAATACCATCTTCTAAATCGCTATGCAGAAAATTTTGTATTGATTTACAACTTGAAGTTTAAAGTGACTTTAGCGATCTTTATAGAATCAAGCTTGTATTTCAGTCAACCTTGAAACTACTGGGTACACGTGTATTAACAAATAAAAATTAGATGAATGTTCTTTAGGCTTGAATGAACTTTGCTCTGTCAGCATATTTCTAACCCGGAAGAATTAAATCTAGTATAGAAAGTATTGTAAAATAAGAAAAATCATTTGTGTGCCTTCTTATTTTAAATTTTACATACTACATGTAGAACTGGTTTTAAATTATAGTGTTTTCAAACACCACCTACTATGGGCTAAGGGCGATTTCTTTTGTTTGTTAAATACGAATACAAATTCCACAGAATTGAGTGAACAGCAGACTTGTAATTATAGGGTACACGTAAACCTGAAAAACTAAGGGAATTTCCCCTTCTTGGATAAAAATAATGACTTAGCAACAATTAACGACTAATTAGTGACTGGAACCTTTTTAAACTTTTACTGCAAGAATTGGCAAGAATTCAAATGAATTTTTCCTAAGCAGGAAGTAAATGTAAGATCATTAATATCATTTTACTAATTACTGTGTATTGGATTATTTACGATTTTTAAATCATACATAGAAAATATTAAATTCAAAAGTAAATCTTATCAATTCCATGTACAATAGAATTTAACTGAATATAGCCCTCTAACAAAATTAAATTAGTTCTAAGTAGTAACTTAGCAGTATGAAATATTCTGAATTTTTCATATGGACTTAACACATTCAAATACAGTATATAATTAATTGATATTTATTATATATTTTTTAAATATTTCACCATTTGTTTGAAGTCTCCATATTCATTCGTTCGGTGCGCCATTAACAATCGCTCCTTTATTTCTTCTGTAGTGACTAAACCAGCTAGATCCACGCCCAATAGATCACCCAGATCAAATAAAGTATCTACGTCATCAGCATTCTTGATGTCATCTTCACTGACGCTAAACATGTCATCAGTCTCAGCCATTATTGTAATTATAGTGTTCCTGCAACCAAGTGTTTTTTTTTCAAATACAGATGTTGTTCTCTTTATGATTATTAATTTTTATTCTGATTTTGAAAATAAATTCACGAAAATTGCCAAATAATCATTTTGTTTTTTATAAACATAATTGCCCTTTAAAAAAAAAATTGTTAAGAAAAACTTTTATCTCATTTTCTGATATTTACCAAACAACGAATAATTTTCTTACAGATATCATTAAAATCATATATGCATTAGAAAAAAAAAAGATTCACTTCTCAACCATTTATCCAAATTCCTGAACTAAGGTTCAAAGAAAGGGCTTTTTACTTAATTATTCAAAAAAAAATCTTATGATTCAGAATGATAATAATTAAGTTGCAGTTAAAATGAAACGAAAAAAACTGTTGTCGAATATTTGCTTTCCTGAAGATTCCTTACTCTTTTGCCAGAAGGAATAACATACCTTATTTCATAAAGTGCCGTGAAACATCTGAGTGTCTCAATAAGCTGTCTTTTGTCTGATTAAAGGACAGTTGCAAAATTGTGCCCAATGAACCAATTGAGGAAATCTTTTTGACAATCGATATAATCAGACCTTTCTCGTTTTTTTGTACCAATAGAGCAAATCTTTTTGGTAATCGATTCACGTTTTCGTCGGACAATTTGATCTCTTGTGCATAGTAGTGTAAACTTCAAACAATATTCCATATAGAGAAAACAAGAATCATCAAGGGTTAAAAAAAAGTATGTTTTAACATGTGTAAATTTTATTTCAACATTCAAAACACATGAATTATTAGTCCTCTGCAAAACATATACATGAAATGGAATGGAATATCGAGTTAAATTAGTTGATTCGATACGCTTTATATCATGCTCTGCCTACGAACAATTCCTATAATTAGGCATGTTTTGACAAAGAAGTTGATGAAACAAGAATATCAACAATATCTTTTGAAGACATCATTTTGCAAGTTCTACGATCGCTACAGTGACATTGTCATTGCAAACTCTCACTACGGCGAATGCTGTCTGACACTTTCATATCCATTGTTAAACTAATTATTACAAACTGATTTGTCTACGTACTTTTTCGTTTGTATTAGGGAGTTGGTCGGTCGGAAGGGGATGCTTACTGTTGCATCTAATCAAACCTCTTATGCTTTTAGTGGTCGGTGTTTGCTCTGCTTCTTATTTGTATGCAAAAATGGGCTTTTACGCTGAAATACTATTTTTAATCTCCATATTTCTTTATCTACTTTTGAATCATTGAATAATTTAAGGGACCAAAACTACATTCGTGGGTTCTGCACAGCAATCCTTATGATAAGGAGGCTCAAATTTTTACTTAAAGATTATTATTGCGCAGAAGTCTGGCTTAGTAAAAATTACGTATTTAATTTGATGTTTTTCCCCAAAAGTTTCTCACAATCTACTGGAATCCTTCAATAGCCTTTGTTTAAAACAATTATTGGAATGTTCACTTGAAATAAGTTCATTGAAAAACATATCAATTGTAAGTTTTTGGGCCCCACCTTCTGCTGCATTCTGATATTGTAAAATCTGTAATCTCATTTGGCATTTGTAATAAATGCTTATACACACACACATTATTATTTAACAGCCATGAAATTAAATATTTGTTAAGAGTTAAGCATTACAGGTGTTTTTATATGAATAGCCATGAAATTAAATATTTGTTGTTTTTTTTTTTGCGTGACACTATATGAGCCCGAAGAGGGACTGGATTAATGCGTCTTTTTTACCTGAGTGTCTTAAGGTGAGATTTTCCTCATACAAAAATGCATTTCTTGTATTCAAAAATTAATGAAATTTCACAGAATCAAGAAGAAAATATGGCCGTTTTTTTATCAGAGGCAGGGTAAAGTCGATGTCAATACATTTTCCCTGGACATAAAAAAAAATTTACTGCATCACATCGTGAGATACTAGTACCTTTTTTTATTTCAAAGGATTAAATGATTTTCCTTTTTGCATAAATAGATATTACACTATAGGATGTATAAGATGATATTACCAAGTTGATATAAGTACTTTAACAAAAATGGCTTTTGGCTAATCCGATTGTTCTCCATTTGTCTTAAATTTTTAGGATATATTGAATATTTCTATGTGTGTCATATCTAAATTTTTCTTATTTTCATATATGGTAAAGAAGTCATATCGAGATACAAAATAATAGATAAACAGAAAGTTATAATAGTTAATGAAGAGAGAGAAACATATTCTACTTTCATATCTGTATATAGATTGAAAGCTTTGAAAAGCTAACATTAAACATAGGGAGATAATGAACAGTATTAAAGATCAAAAGTTCATAAAACAATAAAAAACAGGAGCACAGCAATCACGGACCTCCAAAACATCTGACGTGGGATTAGGTGCCATGAGGGAGTGAGCATCCCCTGAACTACATAAGCACAAATATTCTCAATACAGAGGCATCAGTGAAGTAATAGCAGCAACAACATTGTATATGTACATGCATCTCGTATTTCTCTTTCTTTATCACAGAAATAGCTAACATTTAATACAAGAAAACTTTTTGTGAAAAGCAAATCTTTTTAAAAATTATTTCAGTTAACAAAAATTCTTTATTTCTAACCTTTTTAAAATATTTTGCGGGCACAGATAAAAGATGCTATAGTTTGTCTCGTATTCGTTACGAGAAAATTTTGATCAATTGCCTTGCAAAAAATACGGTAGTGATTTCAATTCATTGAAATCAAAATGATTCAAACCTTAAAAACCATAGCATTACTTATACAAGTATACATATTGGTATCTTTTATTTAGAAAATATTAAAATTATAGAGAATTAAAAAAAGAAATTAAGTGAGACAAAGTTTTTCTTTCTTCAAGACAAAACAAAAATAAACTTGCAGTGATACAAATATTTATCTTCAAACTGGACACTAGCTGAACTGAATAATGAGCGTGTCGAAAGGACACCACATTTTTTTCCCCAAAAAAGTCTTTCCTGAAATATCATTACGTCCATGACTATTAAGACTTAAATAAACTATGGGAAGAGATCTACTCATCTTCGGTAGATCAGATTTCGTTTCCGGGGTAGGGGCTTTGGCTCTTCGTCAACTCTCTCTAAGATATCAACAACGGGAAACTTCAAGTTCAGAAACTCTCCAACGCGCGGACGGTCGTCTGCTTTTCCAAAACACTTTGTCATCAAAGCACATATATCCTCTGACTGGCCTTGGAAAACTTCATCCAAATTCAACATTTCTCGCGGCATCACTTCCCTCGCAAATTGGTCCAGAGACCATTGACGATACTCTTTGTAGGGTTTCTTTCTGAAAATCAGCTCCAAAGCCAGGAGTCCTACTGCGTACGAATCGTCACATGCAAGGTATGCTTCACCATTAAGGACTTCTGGTGAAATGAACACAAAATGCGACACTTGGATTGATTCGCGATCCATTGGAAGGTTGGCTTTTCGGGGAAGACACGCTCCGGTTAGTTTAACCATTCCCGTTGCTTGTTCAACCTTTTGAAATGGAAATAAAATGTATAAAGAGGTATGCTGTAAATTTAAAATTTATTTTAGCGGTTGCCTCTAGGAGTCTAATGTGTTTTGTTCTTAATAAAAAAAAAACGACAAAAAAAGATTTCTTGTACATATTATTCATACATACCGTAACAGTATGTGTGTTGAGCTCCATATGGACTAAATTTCGACGATGAAGATATTCCAGTCCTTTCACAGTCTCTTGAAAGACTTTCATGCGCTCTTTGGCCGAATCTTTACTTCTGCTTTTAAAATATTCATGCAGTGTCTTCATTCGATTCTTGTAGATGAGTGTTGGGAATCCAGAATGAACACGATGAAGACCAAGGAATTCAGCAACATGACTGTGCTTTAAAAATCTGTTTTGATGATAAAAAGATAAAAAAAAAATCAATTTCTTACTCATTTTGTCATACATAATTGGAAGAAAATTGTAAATGGTAACATATGTGCATTATGTATACCTGAGTTTAGAAACCTCAGCCGTTATGTTGGTTACTCCTGATGACATCATATAGATTCTGATGAACACTGGAATTTCTCCTGCATTTTCTTCCTTTCGAATGCTGCCATTTTGCAGAATTGTCCAAAGAGCTCTCGTTTCACTTGTTTGGGCAGTGTTACTTTCTGTAGAACTGTTGTCGATAAAATGGGAAATATGGATAGACTTTTCATCCGAGTTAGAAATCCGTATTTCTGCATTTCTAAAATCATCGACAAAGATTTCTCCTTCCCCGTACTCAGTCAATTGATGTTTTAAATCTTCCAAGCCAGTCATCATCTCTTCATATAATTCCCTAGAGACTTTCGTGTCCCTCCTACATCGCAGTATAAGCATCATGACCTTTCTATCCGACTCGATAATGGCAGGAATTTTACAATGGATGTCAGCAAGTTTTTCTCTGGTTTGATCAAGCAAGGCCTCGATAAACTTTCGGAGAAAACTGTTTCCATAATTTGTATTCAATAAGTAGTCGTAATACCGTTCTGATTTTTCTCTGGCTACTTTGGTTCGATTCTTCTCATAGTCTCCGATACGACCTTTCTTGTTGACAATATTTTGCAAGGCGTTTCCGAGAGGAGAGAGAAATTGCGCAATGAATGGTACTGTTAACTGGTTTTCTGAGCATACCATGACACTTGGCAAAGTGGATCGCCGGGATGGGCCGCCTAGCGAGTGTCTTTTACGCATTGTCCCAAATTGAGACTGTGATGCGTCATCACTGGTAATGGATTTCGTGTCTGAATTCAAATCATCATCAACATCAGCCAATTCTTCTCGTAATAGATTCAGCTTCAGATGAATCTCAGTCATTATTGCCCTGTCGATTTCTTTGATGTGACCTTGTTGATCTTCCCATCTAACCAGCTCTTTGGATATCCTTTGAGACGTCCTTTCGTAAATTTCCATTTTGATTTCCGTCCAGGTTGGAAATTCGTTTGGATCAGGTGTTTCGGCCGTTGTCCAGTTGATTATTTGAGTTTTCGAAGGTAACGTCATCAAATACTCCCGGAAAGACTGGTATATTTCTTCACAAGCGTTGTCGATTTTTTTCGTCAATGACTGCATAACCTCCTCTGCGTGAAGTCCTATCCTATCTAACTTGACTTCTATCTCTGATAACTTCTGCTGAAGGTCATCCTCTGAAGTGTCCAGACGACAGACGAACGTCTTAAGGTGGTGTGTCATTCTCTTCAGTATGGTTTCCATCCATCTGAAATAATTATTTGTAAATCTTTCTTTTTACGAAAAAAAATGATTTTGTTAATTAAAATGGGAGTTATTCACAGACATATAATGAAATTGTTGATAGTTGTGATCAACATAGATATAAAAACAACGTATTTACTTGTAGGTTGATGTTACTCTTTTGTCAAGAGCGGAAGTGTAGAGTTCATGAATCCCACTCCACACTGCTTTGAAGTCGGAAGTGATGTAATTTTTATTCTGATCCAATTCCCTCTTTGCCTCCATGGCTGAAAATTTTATAACCTGGTCCCGTTTTAGACCTGGCCAATATCTTTCGAGACGGGACACAATGTACTGGAAGACTTCCTCTCTTTCATCTCTCTTTACATTGTCCCAGTGATTACAAACAAAGAGAGCCAGTCGAGGGTCAAAATTCAAACCATATCCGTCCTTCTTTTCCTTTTGGGAGGTCAGAATCATTTTCAGCAATTCTCCAATCTGTCAAATTTAAGTGAATTCTAAGGTTAGGGAATCATGGGGATATGTTTCAAATTGTTAAGTTTATTCTTTATAGCAGGAAGCCCAATTATAAGCTCAAATTGTAAAATTGTAATATTAAAATATGACAATACACACCCTGTCTTCATCCACTCTCTGACCACTATCTGACTTGATGAGGTAGATGAATCCATTGATTTGGTTGGTCTCCACAAAGCGTTTGATGACGTTGTCCATCTGTGGATTTTCCCCAATACCTGGAGAGTCTACCAAAACGAGGCCGTTCTGCAGGATCAAAAAATAAAGTAAGCATGTTTTCTAGTTTTGGTCGTCTAGGAATATTAGAATAAAATTATCCTGATTGAATGAGTTCTAGAAATTCATTACCTTTAATCTCTCATTTGGCAATTTCAGGTGGACTTCTGCGACAGCATCCTCTGATTCACCCTTTTTGCCCTCGCGCTTTTCAAGATCTTTTTCAAACAATAATTTTTCAATTTGTTTTTCAATTGGTTCGTCCGGATTTAAGTTAAACTTTTCTGTTTTGCCACTTTCATTCAATATATGTACGGAAATTTGTTCCCCGTGTGATATCCTAGTTATGACTGATGTGCAGCAAACGGCCTTGACCGTCAATAAGTCCTCGTATCCCAATAACAAGTTCAGAAATGTCGTTTTACCCGCATTTGTTTCGCCTGAAATTATAGAATTTAGATTCGGAATAGCTCCTTGTTTAATGCAATTATGCCTTTGAAATAACGAAACTAAGAATCTTTTAGAGACTTTTTGCAAAAAAAATTAATATTGGAAAAAAAAATAATAAATCACCTGCAACAACAACAACACAATGTCCATGAGTAATGTGTTGAATTTTTTGTCTGAGATCTTCGTCGAGGTCCTTTGTAATACCCTCTGTCTCGAGAAGTGATTCAAGAGTTGTCTTTCCTTCAATTCGTTCTTTGCCGCAAGACGACATTTGATGAAAACTAGCGTTTGTTTGGGTGAATTTCTTTAGAAGCTCCTGTAACTTATTCCTTCTCTTTATGTCGTCACATTGTTTTTCCATGAACAGCTTTCGAAACTTAAAATAGAACATAAATAAAAACATTTAATATTTTTAAGCATAAAAAAGATACAGAAATAAAAAAAAATTATAAAAGTTGAAATTGTTATTATCAATTGGGGTGTAATTAAGTAATTAAAACTTACGATATATTTTTACGCTTTATAAACCGCGAAAACCGCGTATAAAAGGTTATATATAAAGTTGAAACGCTTCATTCCTTATAATTTAATTTCAGTGTAGACAAAAAGACACTTTTTTCTCCAGAATAAGGCTTCAAATTGAGCATTATTTTAAAAGTAACGTCAAGCGGAGTAATACGTTTTTGACGTAACTCATTGTGACGTAGGCAAGTTATGTTATCCAAAATATTATATGTTTTTGATTCAGCCAATGAAATAGCTTGATACAAGTGAAATTAAATTATTTGTCATTATTTTTTATTTTAATTATGTACTACAGTGAAGATTTATAAGCATGAAGTTTTTTTTAAAATTGAATTAAAGATCTAGATCTGTTTCATGAAGGTCAACGGTATTTATCACTATTTTTTTCCCTTCAGTCAACGTTGAATTTCGCAATGCAAGAGGGATACTAAAGACAGATTGTTGTGAGAATTTATCATGCTGCGTTTAAGTTTGAGAATATAGATTTAAATCTTTTTTTTAAATTCTGCTCTGTATTATTTTATTTAAAGACGTTTTATAGAAAAAAAAAACAATTTGACATTGATTAAAAAATATAATTTACAAACTAATTTACAAGTGTTTCAATGGTCTGCCCTCTTAGTAAAAATCTTTTTATTTGGCAACTTTTAAAATATATTGGGCTTGTCTCAGTGTTAAAATATAGATTTTGTATCTCATTGGTCAATGGTTCAACAAAAGAAGGTACCCGGAAGAAAAAAAACAAGTTTTCGAAATTCTAAAGCGTCGCTGCAGGAGATATAGAATAACTAGTTAATTCTCATGATAATATGGTGTGTATTTACAGTGAAATAAATGATTAAACATGGATTTAAACATGCACAATCATTCATGCATTAAAATCTTTCAATTTTTTAATTCTTTATTTTTTCTGGAGAATATTTGTATTTTTTTTCTTCACATTTTTTGACATCAGGTAAAGAATTTGTTATTCAACTGCCAAATATCGATTGTCTTATTATTTTAGAGAATCGAAACACGTAATGAATTATAAATAAGATAGATAAAAAAATGTTGCAAAAATGTGAGTTTCTAGTACATAATCACACAGCTGAAATATTTTTTAAAGAAAGGTTCCGGTATTTTTTTTCTATAAAGGAGCGTTAACATAGCATTTTCATCGGACACAAAAACTTACATATATTGCTCACAGGAGCGAGTGAAAGAAAAGAAATAAGTAAGAAGCTTATTTAGTTTATTTTAGAAAATATTCGGAAAAATGAAAACTTAATTTCTTTTAAACATAAGTAATAGTGCCACAATTTTGTAAATTTTAACATTGAAAGTTATATTGCTTTATTAAACCCCCTTCCCATTTCTAGGACTGTTTTTTGTTTGAAGGGGTTGGGTTAAGGTGTGAACAGTCTCAAGCACTGGTTGAATATATGCAACTTATGGATTATTGTATATCTATCTCTCTCTCTACACGTGTAAGGATTATTTATTCCTTTTTGCTATATATCGTGCCTAATGTAAATTCATTACAATTTCGATATTCATGTGGGTGTTTACATGTTATAAGTTCCATGCGATGTTAAAAAAATCTACTTAATTTTATATTTCAACTATTCTGTAGACATCGAATCAGTTTACAGTTTACAGATTTAAATCGCCAATTATCAAAGAATGGACTAAAAATTTAATATAAATTGCCTAAATTCCTTTTAGTTTTATACAGCTTTTCTTTGATCGACAAAGTAAAAAACCAAACATGGATATGATCATAATTTATGGTTACATGATTAAATTTCAAATTTTCCCTTTGTAAACCAAAAATAGACTGGGAATTCAATGTATATTCCCTATGAATTACAAAGCTTTGCCTACAATAGATAGACAAGGGGATTATCCTCTTCTTAATAATTTAAGTTTAAGATTAACATCTGCTGGCGCATCATGAGTATTTTGAAATGAATTACATAATATATGAATTAAAGATATTTTCTTATCCAATAACCAAATACAAAAAATTAACTTACTGGTCTATAAACGCATTTAAAATATATACAACATACAAAAAATCAAATTGATGTTAATTGATAAGTTTTAATTACCAGTAAGTTTTAATTGATATTCGATAATATTACAATAAATAATGTCCTCAGAGCTCGGAAAGAAACAAAAAAAGTTTGTCAATGATTAAGTCTTAATGGTTTCACTTATTCATTTTTAATTAGAACATATGCCCGGAACATTTTTATCTGATTTCTGATTGTTTTAGAATACATTTTTTTGGGTATGGCCCTTCGTATACTGCAATATTACAGACCCTATGATTTCATGGACTTGTTTTTTCTTTCTGAAAGGTGTTTTTTCAAGTTTGGTAACTGAAACAAGTCTAAGGATGAAAGATCTGGCGAATATTGTTTTTGTGACATTACATTAACGTTCTGTTTATCCCCCAAATTCATTTCTCTGGTCGTTTGGGTTTGTAAGCTTTCGTGAAGAATTCAATGTTCTGGATTCCTTATTTTGGGTCCTTCCTTTCAGAAGCATTTTTTAAAATTAGAATTTGGCTTTCTAGACTTCAACAGAAATTGAACTCCCTCCCGAAATATGAATTTGAACCACAAGACCACTACAATGTAATGTTTAAGAAAATGGCAAATAAAACCGTTTTTGTGCTCTTGCAAACCTTAAAGTTTGCTCTTCTCAGACCTTTTCTGTTTTTTGTCAAGTACAACATTGTTAAATTGTTTTGAAGGTTTAAAGTAATAGATTCAAGTTTTATTCTCTGTATGAATTATAGACAAAGGTGGAAAATTACAATTTCTGATTTAAAAAAAACAGTTGTTTAGATACTGAGTATTCTTACACGCTGTGGTTTTCACTCATTTTCCAAAATATAGGGTAACCTTTGAGCAATAAACTTTTTAACAATCAAATATTTCTTTATAACAGAGTGAACTACCCCCAAAATGATATTTATCAAATTTGCTTTTAAAGTGTCTTAAAGTCAATAAAATAAAATCAGTGATAATTTGTTGAATATTCGCAAATACACATTGGTTGTTGTACGTCCTTATCGCCAAGGACGGTAGCCATTTTTGATGCACATTATATAATTTTTGTTCATTGAAATCCACCTGTTCGTGTGTTAAAACAGACATTTGTTGCTGTAAATTTTACATATTTCACTTAATATATTTTTGGGATATTAACAAGTATTACGGCAACTTTAATGAAGCGTTTAATTTCACTCTAGTTTACTGATTCTTGAGCATTCATTTTTAATGCAGTGTCTCGAATAGCCCTTGTTTTCCAGCTTCCCACAATGAAACTATGTGATGAAAAGTGACTACATAAACTGTCATCAATGCATCAAAGATTCAATAATGAGAGAAAGTAAAGCTTAATGTCGTATGATTTCTATGTTGTATGTCATCGAGGTAATGACATTATTTATTCAACAACCCTCGTATTAGAAAACAAAAATAGGAAAAAGGTGGCTCGACCCCAGATTTAAAAAGAACAAAAATGGAAGAGGGTCCATATCCCAAAGGCCTGTATTTCAAACAATGTGATCTACCCCAAAATGATGTTTATTAAATTAGGTATGTGTTATAGTCGTCAATCAAACAACATCGGTACTACGGATTATGAAGTCAATCAAACATCATCGCTGATAATTTGTTGAATTTTGGCAAATAGAACATTGGTTGTTGTAAGACATTGTCGCCAAGGACGATACCAATTTTTGATGCCCATTATATTATTTTTGTTCATTCTTTTGCTATTAAAAATTAACCTTAACTCCCCTCACCCTCCCGACATTTTTTTCTTTTGAGCCTTCATTAAGGTGAAAATGACATTTTTACAACAGCTACAAACTACAAAAATATATGTACGATTATAAGAAAATAAATAAATAAATAAATATACCGTTTCAATTGGATTTTCCCGGGAATCCAGATAGTCCAGATGCATACAGATCCTATTCTGCATTTCTTCCACATCATTCAATTTAGCCAAATCCACTCCTAGCTCTTCGGCATAGTCCATAACAGTATCTAAATCGGCGTCCGGATGAAGAACCAACTCTTTGGTAATACACGGCACGCTCCCTCTTCTTGTGGCCATCCATTCTTTATGTGATTCGTCCATTCTAGGACCTGGCGGAGAATACGCCATTTTTCCTCTTGGAAATTACAACAGTTAGTTTAACAACTAAGCAAAACCATGTATTGAATGGGTTTTATTTAAACTGCGTGCATGCGCAGTGCTGGTCTTAGAGTTTTTGGTTTTCATTCTTTTTCTGAATAGGGTCTATTTTTAAATGTTTAGTAATGTGCATGCAGGAAGAATTCTTCGAACCGGGAAGAGCTTAGGAGTACAGCAACGGACGATTTCTACCTATGTATGTATAAGTATTTAAATATTAAACAGCAGAAAGGAGACCGGTTTCAAAGCTGACTGCTAAAACAGAAACTGAGATCGTTACTTGGAAGACAGGTGGAAAAGGGGGCACACCATGCCGAAAATTGATATAACATGTCGGGAAGACATTATTAAACTACCCGATATTGCGTCTTTGCGTACTTTGAAAAAACAGTGGAACCTTGATACAGGTGGACGACAGCTAAAAGACAGGGAGGACTATGTCCGATTCCTGTTGGAAGCTTACGATTCCGGAAAAATCAGCGGTGCCAATGGCTCAACAAATAATCCGGTGAGAAACGTTATGTAAATTAGATATTTCCCATAAAAAGTGGACTATTTAATGCAGATGTCATGATAAATCGGTTTATAAGAAGGTTTTGTTCTAAATTTCTAAAATGGGGAGGGGGGGGGGTAGAGTGTGTTTCCAGCCATTTTCAAGTTAATACGATATGTAAGTTATTAATTCTCTTCTGTACAACAATGCATTTAGGAAGAACTTTAAGCCTTCTCGTACAAGGATCATACTTCACCCTATATTTTGAATGTTTTCAACAGAAGTGCAAGGTTTCAAGATCCACTTTGTGCTTGCACACTATTCAATGTTTTGGCGGACAATGTAATTTGTCGCGCTGTCTTTCAGCTCATACCAAAGGGGTCATTCTTGCATAAAGAACGACAAGTAATCAATACCCCCATACAACTCGTATGTGCCTTTCATACAAGGGTATATGTTTATATTTTTAAAACAAGATTTAGACGTAAATACCGTAATTAGAGTAGGTAGTTTTACTATTCTTCTGGAGAAAGCATTGTATGATAGCAGAGATAGCGTTGATTACAGAGAACGAAAATTTAAAGTTAAAACGAACCTTTTGTTGTCGTTGTTTAATTTTCACGAAAATGTAAACATAATTCAAGGGTTAATTTTTTTTAATACCAAGGACAAATATGTTTGCACATATCTGCCTGAACAGACACGCGAATGCTTGTTTTGAATTTACGTATTAGACAATATTTACAAATTTTTATTTCTTCAGCGAGAGAGCATATAAAATTCAAGTATTTAATAATTATGAGCTGCTAGGAATTCGACATGCGACCATCTTATACATTGACTCAATTTTTTAATATTTGAAATAAAATTCTGAATTCAAATAACTTCTGAATTTTTCATATAAATTTTCTCCTTAAGATATACATCAATTGGAAAGTAAACTTTAATTTTTACTAGAGACAATACAACAATTCTTACAGCTGGATATCGCATGGTGCACATTCGTTCCCAAAATTTTAACGTCTTTTACAAATCATGCTAACAAATTAAAAAATAAAACACTGACTTTCTAAATGAGTTGTAAATGAGATTAAAAAAAAATGAAGATATCACTTTGTAAATTTTATTTGCATTTGTTTAAAAATAAAACCGTCACCGAACAAAGACAAGCTACAAAATGTAACTTAAACCATCATTTCGTCTTTGTTCACGTCAAACATTTATACATGTACCTGTATCTTTATTACAAGACAGCGACACTAAAAATATAATGAAATGGATACTTTGTATAGACCACTTAGCAGGATTTTCCTGGAATTCTTCTAGTTGAAGGATTTCCCAGTGATTAAACTGAAAGAAAATGAGTCATTAATTGAATTTTAGATTTTTATATTATGTAAAACGTTGATAAAAAACGAACAGTGGTAAATCTATATACTAGTATACTGAAATGAAAAAGAAACGCAACAAGCAGTAATCAACAAATATTTGATTTTTTATCTAATGATTTTCAAAAATGAATACAGTAAGGCTAAACTCACTTTTCAGAACATCAGAGATCTGATAAAAATGTTAAATGTTTATCTTTTTACTTTACTAAGTAACATATGCCAGTTAAAACACCCCCTCCCAGCCATTCAAGTAAAACGTGCAAGACTGCCCTAAACAACAATTGCAGTCTAATTTCTACGATCAATAAGTTCATCAATATCGAGATCTGAGCGAAGGAATTAATCTTAGCAATTTTTAAATGCCCGTTTTTTTAGATGATTAGGTCGAGTTTTATCTAACTTAGAGCGGTGTAACCACCTTTGGACTTCCGGTACAAGGACTGTCCTTAATTAATGCATATGATACGTAAGGCCCTGTTGAGGCATAATGTAGTGAATTTTTGCTTCAGCAACTCTCCATCACCTTTACATTGAAATTTTACAGCTAGAGCAATGAAAATGCATACTTAAGCCATTTTCAAGCAGCCTTAGCATCGTTACGGGAAACGAAAGGAGAGTTTATTTTTTGGAATATTGCTGCAATACTTATAATAAACAGTAAAAACCCTTAAAACTCCATATGAGATATTGCCAAATGTTTTGTTAAACATGCAATTTTTGATTTCTGTTAAGCAGATAACAATAAAAATATGTTAAGAGGGCATAACACACGGAAGCCTGGAAAATCTAATGGTGGGATCAGATGCCTATGAAGAGTAAGCATCCCTATTTGATCGGTCACTTCCTCCCTAGGGCCCTATGTATTTATCAGGTAGAACAGAACTTTCTGTAGTCAAATTCTCTATGTAAAAAAACCGAAAGAAATCAGCCCAAATACGATCTTTTTATTTTAAGAATACAACGATTCTTTTAAAAAGAATGATATTACCAAAAGACCTTGAGAAGTACATATATAATCCATCTTAAATGATTTCTCACAGTCTGCATATTTCACAAAAGTAATCAAATAAAACAAGATGAATAGGCATTTTATTTTAATCGTTTAAACCTTTTTTCAAACAGAGAGGAATAAAATGTCGTTTTTTCCCCTATAAAACTTTTTAATGGAACCTTTGTCAGTTTAACCCGACGAAGAGATTTGTTTGATCAGAATGCATCAAGGAGAGTTTAGTATAAAAATAAACCAAAATAACGATGATAATTACTTAAATTGTATAAAGATAAATTTTAAATCAATTTCAAATCATTTTAATGGATCAAAAAATCAAATGATGCGTTCGCCTGCTCGGTTACGCAACAAAGTCAGCTATGTTGCATTATGATAAATGTTACCCCTGCACGGTAGCTTGAAAGACTTTTAAAAGAGAAATGAATATGGGATATCAGAACACCAAAAACATCATATATTTTCTGTTTCAAGATCCCCGTATACATGATTTTGAAAGAAAAAATGCACATTGAGCATATTTTTTTTGTTATTTCAAAAGGAGATTCTGATTTGGCTTACTTATTTCATACCAATTGCTGGGCCTTTTTTTTAAAAAGTAAATTGACTACAGATAGTTCCTGATCAATACATAGGGTAAGTAGGGCGGATGTGATCAGTCAACAGGGGATGCTTAGTCCTACTTATGATCTCACCTCTGGAATTTCCAGAGGCCCGTGTTTTATTTCCTCTTCACATATTTCTATTTTTTCTGATTTTTTTTTAGATCGATCACTGTCGATTATCTTTACCATTTACATAAAAAAAATTGTGAAGTCAGAAAAAATTTCTCTGTTATTTATTCTTATATAATTATGTCAATATCAAATGATATATATATCGTATAAAATGTGAAAATAAAAGTTTGCAAATGGGTCTTATTTTTTGGTTTTATCCAAAAGTTAGTCGAATAGGTAACATAATTGAAGACATGACAATTTCAATGAATTTTCTTGGATAATTGTACAATGTATGTTATAACAAACAAAACCAAATCTATAAACAACATAAAAACAACAGCAACAAAACAGAATCAAAGGTAAGAGCCACAAAACCACCAAAAAAATCAAAGAAAAAAATTAAAGAAACGAATGCTAAACAATAAGTTTTATCGTCTCTATTTGCAGCCCAAACCAGACCCAAACGCCGGTCTGGCAGAGGCCATTCAGTTGGATACACAGAACAGAGCCAAACTACAAGAAGTCTATGATGAGGTACTAAAGTACTATGGAAGCTTGACACCTCAATTTCAAAAAAGTCTGAACACTGCTTATCCCGACCTTGTTAACAGGATTGCCGCGCGGAGAAAGGAGCTGGATTCTAGGGAGCTTGTAATTCTTGTTGCAGGTACTGTTATGTTCATTACATGCAATACTATGTAAAAGGATGAACATGTACACTTTTTGGTCCAGTTGACCTAGGTATGATATGATTTCATCTTGCGTTAGATATACACTTTTGAAACTGTGAGACCATTGAAATTATTCACAGAGAAGAAAGTAGTTTTCAGAACATCGGTTCCTCTGGGTTCGTATGAAAGCATACAAACTAAGTTGGAGAAGGGTTATTAATTCCATTTACACTTTCTATTACTTTGACGTGTTATAAATTTTAATAAATTTTAATATCTTTGGGTTTAAGGAGATACAGGTGCTGGAAAATCCAGTTTCATCAACCTCCTTTTGGAAACCGACATATTTCCGGTTGCGGCCATCGCAGCGACGCAGACGATATGTGAAATGCGGAGATCCAGAAATGGCGAGAAAGAGGCAATCTGTTATTATAAAGCTTCTGGGGATAATAAAAAGCAAAAAGCCCCAGAAATAATTAGGATCGACAACCCAGCCGGAGTAGAAGAGATGAGGAAGCGTATCAAATATAGGGACGATGACGAAGACACTCCTTTTGAACGTATAGAAATATATATGCCATTTCGGATGTTAGAGGTTCGAGCATTTTTTTTTTGCATTGTTTTAATAGTGGTTGCAACAGTGCATCTTTAAAGTATTCAATGTAAATTTCCAAAAAAAAAAAAAAAAAATATGCAATCACATCTACACTGTAGTACAAGATTAAGTTGTCAGACGAAATTGCAGGGTTTTTTTCCCTGTGTTCATTATACTAGTAATTAAAAAAGTATTCAAATTTGCAGTAAAATTTAATAATTTTCTCTGAAAACATAGTAATTGAGAAAACTATTAGAAGGGTCAACAAACATTTTTGGTTGTTTTTTAGGAAGGAGTGGTGATTGTAGATAGTCCCGGATTTGGAGAACGTGGAAGGAAGACGAGTCAGGTTGAGCGGTATCTCAGCAAATCATTCGGTACCATTTATCTTGTTAATACTGCAGCAGCAGGCGGAGTTAACGCTGGTCGAGTAAGAAACCACTTCCAAAATTAATTCAGTATTTATTCAATAATAATAATACATTTATACACTTGAGAGCAGTTTCATCATCTTTATTAATAAGAATAGTAAAGATTTTTCTTTCCTTGTAGAATTTAGAAGAAATAAAATTAAAATAATGACATTTTTTTGCCTAATTTAAAAAAAATTGTCTATAATTCATTCTCTTCTTTCTTTCGGATCAGACGCGTGAAATAACTAGCATATGCTAAAAGAAAATCTGTCTTAATAAAAATATCGATGTGAACTCTTTTCGCAGTTGAGGGACTTTCTCCGCTTTGTCGTTAACTCCGCTGGGGAGGAGCACGACCCCTCCGCTACCATCTTCATCGGCAACAAAACAGACTGTGTGGACCCCAAGGACCTGAAAGAAGTTAAAGACACCACTACCTACAAACTTAAACAGTGTTACCCCGGGCTGAAGGACAGCAATGTTTTCTTCATGTCGGTCAATGAAGTAAGATTTGTGGACTGAAATGCTGTATATAAGATTGTGATTTTGGCATTTTCTTTCCAAATTCAATACCGTATTGAAAAAGATTTGAACACGTTTTTAACAAAGCAAGATTGCTTTAAATCTTTTTTTTAGATGTTGATTTTATTTTGCGTCGTTATAAAATTTTATGTTGGAATTAATGATTTTCGCTATGAACACATGCATTGTATAATTGTAGGCTTTGCAAAACGTCGCCTTTAATACAAGGACTGAGGACCATCAGAGGGTTTTGGTGCAAGGAATACAGAAACTGTTCCCTGCAAGTCTTAGAAACAAATTAAATAGCCACTACAGGTACAACAATCTTTAAATAATTTTCTAAAAAAAATCAGTCAAATAAATTCCTTGTATATAAATATATACATGTAATGTTATATTTCTTTTGTAGATTTCAATCTCAGATACTGAAAAGAGCTCTAGTCTCTCTTAAGGTAGCTAGAACCATGGCGCTAACAGGTAGAGAGAAACAACAGAATGAAATTGAGGATATCCAAAGGCGAATGAGGGTCTTGGAGCAAAACGCCAAAGCAACCATTAAAAACTTGAAAACCGACATCAGATACGAAGAAGATCAGCTTTACGAAGATCTAGCTTCCTCTCTGCGTAGCAGGGCTTTTACTGAAAAGGTTTTTGATATTCAAGAAAATCAATGTGCCAAGCAATCAAAAGACTGGAAAGCCGTAGCACAGGACGCCAATGAAATCATTGGTAATATTATAGCAAGAGAGGTAGACAGCTGGGAGGCGAGCAATATGCGTGTAGTGGGCATTAAAGCAAGAATATTGGACAAGTTCACCAGAGAGTGCCAGGTGTATGAGGATCAGCTTAAAGAAATAGAAGGTATGTTAAACACTATAAATTCTTTCATAGTACCTATATCTCAGCATTGCATAACCAATCAGAATGTTCAACTTTTATTTATTCAACTTATTTAAATTGTGTAATTTAATTAGTAAGTCCAATTATTCAAAGAGAGTGCCTTTTAAAAACTAAAATATAAATGCATTTTGTATCAATGAGGTCAAATACACTATATGAATGAAAGGTTTTATTTGAAAATTCATTTTAGGTGCACTTCTCGATGGTGACGTGAGAGTAATCAAAGATCTGCATAAATCTATGAAAAAACAAGCACCTGTTCGGCAAATCTGGGCTAGAGCTAAGGACACCAAGTCAGGAGGGGGTGGTATTGGTGAAAAATTAAACAGTTTGGGAAGCTTGGTGAGCAGCGCCGGGGGTCTTTCAACCAGCGATAGGAGGGTTAGGGATTTATGCAGAGGATACTCTGCTAGAAACAATATTCAGAACATGAAGTCTTTGGTTTCCATTTTCATCGAAAATATTTTCGATGGAAATGACTTAAAGGTCAAAATAAGCAAATTTGTTGGAAGATTTGCAAAAGGTGTGGACACTATTGCCAAGAAGATTCCAGATTTTGTCGAAGCAGATAAGGAATTGATTAAAAATATCCAAGAAGATATCCAGAACGCAGAATATAATTTGAGAGAAGTTTTCCCAAAAGGTCTCAGTTTAGGTACAAGGCTGCAAGGGCAGCTTGATGTTTTCTACGTGAAAAAGATCATGGAAATGGACTACCGCCTAAGGGATCTAGAGTACAATCCAACAGAGGACTTGCTGGGGAGTGGGGCTTTTGCCAATGTCTACAGAGGAAGACTCGTCTGCTATCGTCCACCAATACAAGTAGCCCTAAAGATAGGAAAAGACTATATACAAGAGAACAATGTGTCTGATATACTACTTGAGGACGGTACGATGAGGTAATATTATTTTTGAATTAACATCCACACACATGGCGTATTTTTACTCTACGTATTAAAATATTATTTTATAGTCACTTTTTCATCAGTTAATTCTCGATAAACCGCCACCTTTTGTAATTTAGAAATCATGGCGGTATAACGAATTTGGCGATGAATTGAATTTTCCATCTTTTAGGAAATAAGACGTAGATTTATCGTTCTTAGAAATACCATTTAGCGTTTCTATTCTTATTATCACGTACATGTATATATAAACATATTTCTAAATTTAAAAGTACTTCAAGTAATTTTATTATGTACAATTTCGCTAAAACAAAGTATTCAGTTATGAAATTAAGACAAGTATATGTGTATACATGTATGTAAATCTGCACGTCTGATATTGAAAAAAAAGCTGGGTCGATCGTCGTTATATATTGCCTAAAGTACGTACAATAAGTTCTTGAATAAATTCATTGTTTATGAAATCATTGTTAATGAAACGTTCACAATTTCTGACTTATAATTATCTTTTAAGCAAACCTTGCATTGTTTTTAAAAGCAGAGATCATCAAAATAATATCGTTATCGGCGAACTTTACAACGACCGCTTTCGTGGTATTTCTTTGACTAAATGATTTTATTAAACAGAAAACAAAATTATTCTAACAGTTCATGTTAAAATCAATTTTAGTTAATTGCATGTACCTTGATTGGCTTTGCATGCTTTACAACAGGGATAGCGTCAACCAATTAGACGCGCTTCACTGACCACATACACCTGTGGCGGTATTATCGAGATAATTGACACTTAAAAATGGACGTTTGTTGTGAAAACAGGGTGGCGGATGGCGGTATGCGAATTTGGCGTTATAAAGAGAATTTTATATAGCAGGAAAAACGTTCTTGGGAAATCATGGCGGTATTGCGAAAATGGCGATGAATCGAATGGCGTTATCTCGAAAGAATAAGCAATTCAGAATGGCAGTATCTGTCATGGCTTTATTTTGTTTAAGATAGGTTATTACATAATAAATCAATGGTATCAAACAATGGACAATGATCAAGTATTATTGCAAGTGTCAATGAGTAAGCGCCGATCCTCAATCTGGCATTTGGCGCCTACGGTTTGCAGAAACGGAGCCATATGGTGCTGACAACCCTGGAGGGTAAACAGAAGTTGCCAGCGATGGCTTGTTGCAAAATTCTGTAGTTCGTCGGCATGGATTGCAGCCTGGAAGGATCTCTAAAGCCATGACGAGGGACGATGTTGCGCTGGAATCGGAAATGATAACAGCAGAAACACAGGAGAAAACTAATAATAATTGAATGCACAATATTTATGCCCTAACATACCTATGATAAAAATACTATATGTATGCATATCCGCGTACGTAACTGAATAGGGTGATGTATATATGTAAGCAGTTTTTATGGATGACTGGTATATGTAAGCAAGTTTTATGGATGATCGGTGTAAAGGAAAAAACTGTGTGGATTATATGAGGAATATTAATCTACATAAAATGGTGGGGGCGGGTGGGTGATCAAAATCGTCGAGCGAAGAGGATGTGTGCGCAAGCGCATTTAAGGCTTGGGGCTATTTTGGAAATTTGGTTGAGGACAGGGGAGTTATCGCGCTTAGGCTATTCTTCTTCGATAACTGGCATTTACCGCACATGGCGGTAAATGCAATTATCTCGAAAGAATAAGCAATTCAGAATGGCAGTATCTGTCATGGCTTTATTTTGTTTAAGATAGGTTATTACATAATAAATCAATGGTATCAAACAATGGACAATGATCAAGTATTATTGCAAGTGTCAATGAGTAAGCGCCGATCCTCAATCTGGCATTTGGCGCCTACGGTATATAATTCGAGAATTGACTATATGAAACATAGAAATCTAGAATCATTTTTTTAAGATGGTAAAATAAAAACATCATTAGAAAGAATGTCTGAAATTGGAAAAGAGTAACAAACGTAATAATAATAATTAATTAACTTCTATAATCTTGTAACATAAATAAAAAAAAAAACAATCGATATCGTTTTTTGGGTAATTATTCAAAATATGCTTCATTTCAGAGAGTTGGATCATAAGAATATTGTGAAATATTATGGTTCCACTTTGCGTGAAGAGAAAATCAAAGGGAAAGGGAGGCTTTTCTGGATTATGATATTGGAATTCTGCGCAGGCACTCTAAAAGACAAAGTCATTAATGACGACTATGACAACCCGGCCAAAGTCGGAAAGATCTACTCCGTTCAGGTGGAACAAATGGAAGAGATGGCAAGAATGGTGATGGAAATTTGTGAGGGCTTGCGATACTTACATAACAAAGACCTGGTTCATAGGGATCTTAAGCTGGAAAATATCTTAGTGAGTAATTATGTTTCGTAAGAAAGTTTTAGAATTCAAAATTAGAGATCAATATTATCGTCTAAAAGACTCGCACTGATTTCTAAAGACGTTCATTTTAAGGAAATTTGCATTTCTTAAAGAGAAAAGTATTACAAATGTATGTAATAAGAAATTTGCCATACATACATGCACTTTAAATCATATCAAATGTACTACGTTTCGCAAAAATAGAAGTTTAACTACATTGTTTTAGAAAATAAACTCGCAAAAGTCAATTTATATAAGATTTTTAAAAACTGACCTGCAGAAATATGATCGAAAAAAATAAAGTAATAAGTAAAGATGATTGCATAGAATCTGCAATTCAAGGAAATTAAAACCTTTTTTTGCAGCTTGCAAAGGGAGCAGATGGCAAGGATGTCATTAAACTCACAGATGTTGGGTTAACTAAACCACAAAGAGAGATAGGGGGAAGCATAGTCGGGTCTCCTGCTTATATGGCACCGGAAGTTCTGCTCCAAACAGAGATTCACAACCGGAAGGCGGATATCTTCAGTTTGGCCATTATTCTCTGGGAGATGTGGTATGGGATTGACGCTGCGGAGCATATCCAATCGCAACTATTCGGAACTTTAGAAAGCGCTGTAAAGGGAGGCCTTCGACCGTCGATGACGATTGAGCACAAACCTCCGGCCGACTGGATGGCTTTGATCAAGCGTTGCTGGGACTATGATCCGAAAAAGCGTCCAGAGGTGGATGAAGTTTTGAATCACTTTGCTAATTTTCTGAAACATTAAATGAATTTGACCTTTATGCAGCAAATACACTGAGTTTTGGTTTGGATGATATTGTTTTCATGAAGCTGTTGTTTGTAACGATGAGACTTGTATCATGTACATGTATTGGGTAATTCGTCGACTTTCTCTAAGTTGTTTTTGTACATTTTTGTTGTAAAAAATGTTTAAGCACACAATAAAATCAATTCAATACTAACTGTAGATTTTTTTTCAATTTTGCTACATTAAAGAATTTTGAATTTGTAGTTTTTTTTAATCAAAGTAATGAAAATGAGATAAATCTCCTTTAAAACAAATGTAAAAAATATTGCAAAATTAGAAATGTGTTTGAAAATACATTTAACATCCAGTTCTTGGTCTTATAGTAACTGAAATTTACTGGAGAGTGTAAGTCAAGTTTGTTTGCATACCAATTATTTACTGATAGAGTACTGAATCACGTGATAAATACAATAGGAAGACTGGATGCTTTCTGTTTCATAGCACATATATGACGATTTTCGTCTCTGGAAGCTTTATATGATAGTGAGAATTTGCTTTTGGAAAACTTTTCAAACAAACATTTTACATTAAAATATCCTTAAAGTAAAAGACGAATTGTACATGCGTACATGCGTACATTTCTCTGCATTTTGATAACTTCGATTACCGTGTATTCAGAGTAGAAAAAAAATTATATTTTACTAGATCATTTACTTAAGAAATTATGATAATATAAACCAAACCATTCAAAAATTTAAAGAAGAAAAAAAATGCATTTACACTGAGAAATAAACTTGTAGGAATATATATATCTGTAAATCTAACAGTTATACCAAAACATTTGTTTTTTTTCCTGGAAGTCTTCTGATTATTAAGAAATCTCTAAAACATATATCTGAAGGGGGTTTGGAAAGCCATGTCATAATTCAACAAGACCAATATTTTTTCCATTCCACTGATGATTTTATCATTCTCTAAATACATATAAACAATTCATAAAAAAATAAAGACCACCAAGTATACGAATCAAAAAAATGTTAAAAATTTACATTCGACTTTGTAACATTTAAAGACTATTGCAAAAGTATGGTAACAATAATGTTATTCGAAACGATTTCTTAATCCTCTTGTAATATGATATCAACTTTTTGAAAACTAAAAATCAAACTTTTGATGAATATAAAAAATAATAATGAGCGAAATATGTTTTAAAGCACGTTTAGTAAAATATTTTTTTTATTTACAAGCATTTCCATTAGAATAAACATTTAGAAATATATAAATTTTAGAAAGGACGTATACCGATACGTAAGCAGTTGTTAAAATCCTAAGGATACCATTAACTAGTAAAAATTATATGTGCCATTTCACTAAAATATGTAGAAAAGTATCGTATTTTATTTTTAATTAGTACTACTCAATTTTTCATTCGAATAAAGAGTGACTTAGCGCACGTCTTGCAATAATTTAAAAGTAGTTTTATCACTTAAAGCTGACATGAACTCTTAAAAAGGCATCAGTTTTCATCTTTGTACGACTTACTACATTCCTGTACGCCCTTGTCCGACATATTTGTTCGATTCCGCCATATTTAATCGAAGATTTTTGGCCACCTGTACCTGCTATATATAGCCTTGACGAATTGTTTCACTTGAGTGATTTTCTAGTCTGGCTGTCGACATGTACACATCTCCGATAGCATAGTTTTTAAAAGTCCATAAACGACCAATACATGTTTGAAAAGTAAAAATTCAACAAAAATAGAACTATAAAGAATTAAATTATTTTTGAATGCATTTGCTGCAATATAAAAAGTACACTAACACGGAATACATTTATGTACAGCAAAAATCCATGCAGGTCGAGAAAACGCGTCAAACGCAGTGATAAAACATTTACCTGAATACTGCTATCGTTACAGGGATGTGCACATGTCGAAAGAATTATCCTATTTTACTTTTATTGAAAAATGCATCTCAGAAGTCATGTAATCCATTGCTAACTCAAAAGTAAAAGATGCTTGGACACACGTGGCCCATGCCGATCATTTTATTTGGCCAGGGAAAATATCAAAGGTTGAAAGCTGAGTGGGGTTGATTGAATTTTTTTCAAAAATAAACATTGCTCTTGTTTGTAAATGTAGTAAATAAAAATTATGATAACACATGGTTTAACTTCATTAAATTTATAAAAAAGCATGCATGATTGCGAATCATTCGTACCTTTTGAAGACATTTTCCTGTGATAGGAGGGGGGGGGGGTAATAAAACATGCATATCAACACTCTCAATAAAAATATTTATGAAAAACGTCTGAAACAGATTAATTATTATCAAATAAATACTGTGTATAGGCTTTATTAGACCTAATATAATTTGATTTAAAGTTATTTATAATTTTGTGCATAATGAAAGAAAAAAAGTGAGCAAGTTCACATACCCCACGCTCCCCCAAAAGTCGAAGTGCTGAAATTCCCAGAAAAAAATAAAGGAATCGTAATTTCCATTACATGTAATATGCTCATCTATACACATTGTGTTCTAAATATCTGCAAAGTTTAACGAAATTGTGTGCAGCGGTTTATGAGGAATTGCGCTGACAAATTGCTCATCTCTATATTCGAGATATGGCCAAAATCTAAATGTAAAAGTGCGGAAATTCCTCAAAAAATAAAGAATTCGGAATTTTCTGGTAATGTGCATATCTACACACACATTGTCTCCTATAAATATCTGCAAAGTTCGACAAAACTCTGTGCAGTGGTTTATGAGAAGTTGGGGTAACCAAAAAATGAAAAAAAAAAAAGACTGACTGACGGGTCAAAAACATTATACCTCACGCAACTTATTGCGAGGGGTATAATAAATGAGTTTGATTCTGTGGTGCAATGATAATGAAAATAAAATTTAATGTGAATTAAATTTCTAGACATAAATAATTAATGATTATTAGAAAAAGCATATAAGAAGAGAGAGCAAACTCCCCGTGAGAATTCCACATTCTACCTACAATTAGCTTTTTACAAATTCTCTTTTTTTGTCTGTTGTCCAGGTCCAGGTTCGACACGTACGTTTGAGAAGGAATTTGAGAAAGTTCCCAATGTTCCCATTCCTGTGATGTATATTTCACGTTTATTATATCCCCCGCTTGAAAAGTGGGAGGGTATATAGTAACCGTTATGTCCCGTCCGTCTGTCCGTGCGTCTGTCTCATACGCGTTGGGGTACCAATCTCTTATCCGCAAATCATCTTGTACCACTTGGTGAATTTTAATGAAACTTTCACAGAATCTTAGGTTTATTACATATTACCATTGTGCAAATCTTATTTTACTTTTCAGGGGTGAAGCAACCGGGGGGGGCCCCCCCCCCCCCACTTTTTTCCGCCACCTAACTTATACTATAGGAAATGTTAATTGAAGGTGTGGTTTTGTTTTGTTTTGTTTTGTTCTTTTTTTTTTTTTGCTTGTCAACTTTTTCAGGTAATGAAAAAAAAAATCTCTGCCTGGCCGACACTTTAAATTACGGTGCTACGTGCCTGCTTTTTGATTCGACACATATTTTGGGTTTAGCGACAACAGCAAAATATGGACTTTGCCATTATAATCATATAGGAGGCGGGGTATCATTTAGTGAGCTCATTGCTCACAATACCTCTAGTTTCTATTTCAATTGGGGCGTGTGAGTTAATTTCTTGTCCAAATCAAAATTATTATTCAATTTATGTTTCGACATCCCGCCTGAAAAAAAAGCCTTGATCAGTTCTAAGGCTTAATAAATGGTACAGCACAAAGTGCGTAGGATCTTATACCTGTTATTGCCCTAACGGATAGGAGAGGGAAAAGAGAGAGAGAGAGAGAGTTCAATATACAAAAGAATTAATAAAAATTATCCGTATTCAACCAGTGTCAAGTATCCCTACCCTAGCTCTTAAAATTATCTCTCAAATACTTCTAAAGAAATTATTTTTATACAAAAAAAATAGCTAGACTATCAAGCAGGAATACTGAAGTCTCGAAAGACTCACTGTAACAACATAATACAGTTACATTCAAAATGCATATACTTTGTGGTCGGAGTGACCCATTTAAAAAAAATCTCAAAATTGAATTCGGCAGAAATGTCCGTCTTCCAAGAATATTTAAATGACGGTCATGTCAATTATTTTTGCATGCCCCCCCCCCCCCGCGCGCCTAAAAAAATCAAATGCCTAAATGTGAAATTGAACAGGGGATGGCCTTTCTCCGTGTGTGTTAAAGAACGTATAGATGTACACATAACAATTACTTGGTTTCGATTGGAGATTAGTACTAAAACAATCAGTTATAATTGACAAATGAATTTTGCGATGCAAACCAACTGCAGACTATATACATGACTTTGTATAGAATGTATATTAGAACTACATGTAGATAGACAATTCACAATTATAGCTTATGAACAGCAGTTATAATACTTTAAACCCCCCCCCCCCCCCACCTTTTCAGCCGCGCAAATACCTTCTCTTTCCACTTGTGATATTTTCCCTGACCAAAATGTGATCAGCACGGACTAAGTGTATCGACTGTACGGAGTAATGACAGTGTGTTTACTATTGAGCTTTTATGGAGTTTATTTCTTTTTTTGTGATGCATATTTCAATAAATGGGATTCAGGGTGTATATCACTTGACTTGTGCATATCTTCGAACCGATGCAGTAACTTACAGTGTATTTCCAGGTATGAGTACGTTTACAGCGTTCGAGGCGTTTTCTCGATATGCATCAATTGCATCTTTTGGACCTGCAAATCGAAGACGTAGGTTGTTTTGTTCCATTCAAATGATATAATTTCAAAATATGTTTGCAGATTTTACTGCTTTTTATTTCAAGTTTATTCTGCATAAATTTGCGCACTGTAAAATACGTACTCATGCATCTAAATTTCTCTTCCAAACTTGCATTTTTTTCCTTTTGATTCAAATCAATAATTATTCAGAAATATGATTATTATGTTGTTTGTTGTGGTTTTGAAATGTCTCGATCACCTAATGTGTTCTCATGTTCTTTACCATCGGTGATGTGCACAAGTCGATACCCAAGCCAAAAAATCATTCAAGTGTAACGACCGCATTGGGGTATATATCGTTACAATGAGACAATGTATCTGAAAGAAATATGGCGGAATACGGCTATAGTTGGTATGAAACAAGTCGTACATAGATGAA